CCGTGTTCCACCTCTTGAAGGTTGGTGCTCCACAGGGTGCCTCCTCAGTACTGCTCTCCACTGCTCTCCGCACGTGCTGACAGTTCTGCATTGCGGAATCTTGTGCACTTGCTGTGTTTGGTGGTACTAGGGATGCCAGTGGTGAAGTGGAGGAGAAATAAGGAACCAGCACTTTACAGTGCATATCTACTGCGGTGTAAGGGATTCCTAAAGGTGTTCCCCCCCACCCTCCTCTTTCTGTGTATGTCTGCCTGCCTAACACCTCCCGCACCCCCCAAAGTCATCCAGCCCAGTGCCTCTTAGAAGGATAAATCTTGGAGGACCTTTTCAGTGTCTTATAGTGTAAAACCTTCTATTCTTCTGTGATTTTGGTAAATTACATTTTGTAGACCAGGGACTAGAAAACTACATCCACACCTGGTTTTGTATATGAAATTTGATTGGAACGCAGTCGCATTTGTTTATTAATCTGTTGTTCATTGCTGCTTTTGTGCTAAGGTGGCAGAATGGAGTAGTTGTGACAGAGACTGTGTGGTCCACAAAGCCTAAAATATTTGTTTACTGTCTTATTTTATGCATAAAGCTTAGCTGGATTTTCTGCTTTATTTGTATAAATTGTACACAGTATTTCTTGTCTTTCCATGATGTCTAGATTTGAAATTTTGCCTTCCTGTTTCATTCCTAGTACTATTTTATCTCTTAATTTTTTTTGTTCCGATTGCTTGGGATTACTAAAATTTCATTTGACTTACTGGTAAAATGTTACCTTGGTATCCATGTGTTTTACTGTGCTCTGTACCAATTTAAATATGTAAAGAAAGATACATGGGTCTTGAAACTACTCTAGTAAAAAGTAAATTTAAAAGTATATTGTATTGACCGAAAAGATTTTCTGGTCCTTATGAGAACTTTCATAAATCCATTTTTCTATGCTAATTAATCAGTTTAGGTTTCCTGCCTCTTCAGGAAAATCATTGTCTGCTGTGTAGCTTTTCAGACTTACAGCAGATAATGAGTTGAACATAAGGAAATTTCTTAATTTCAGATTTTTTTTTATCATTTTTATTTAAAAATGTTAACTATTTTCCACATAACCATGCCTCGGGCTTATAGGTTCATCTTTAAAGCAACTGATTTCTGTTTTCATCTTTACTGATTCCTTCTTTCTTCTTCTTTACTTCACTTTCTACCTTCTTGAGTTAGATGCTTTATCTTTTTTTGTCTGTTGGAAATAATTAGGCTATGAATTTTTCTCTGGGCATTGATTTAGCTGTATTTAGTGTTTTACTGTTTTTTTTTTTTTTAATAATCCCGTGGTTTTCATATTTATTTTATTTTCAACTCAGATTTATTTAAGGCAGTTTTATTTGCAAATTTTGTTATTTCTGATGACATTGTATTGCAATCCAGAAACTTTACCTGTATTTTTATTCTCTTGCATTATATTGATGTTTTCTTTAGTACTGTGTGTGTGTGTAATTTTTTATGATTTTCATGTGTGCTTGTCAAAAAGATATTATACTAACTGCTGTCGAGGTACATGGTTTTACTGTTTTCTCTTTTTTTGTCTCCATTTGATTTACATATTTCGATACTTTGATAAGTTCTTAATTGCTCATTTTTTTACTTATTCCTTTTGTTAATATAAAATATATCTTTTATAATGCTTTTCTCCTTGGAATTTTCTCTTGTCTGATGTTAATTCTGTTTTCATTTAGCTTTTTTTTTAGCATTTCTTGGTGGTATATATTTCTCTGTGCTTCCCGCCCCACTTCCTGCATTATTTTAAAAGTACTTTTTGCAAAGTATTTGCTTTAAGTATGTTTCTCTTTTCTTAACCCCATTAAAGAAATTTTGTCTTTTACCAAATGACTTTTAACTCCTTTATGTTTATTGTGACTTAGGTATTTTGAAGCTAATTCTTAACATCTTTTGTATTTTGAATTAACCACAATTTTGAATTTTTTAAATTCCATTTTCTTTGTCTATTGAATGAAAAGTTTCTGATTTTTCATTTTTTCTCCTACTAATGATTTAGTTGCTTACTGTTATAATTAACTTAATTTTTTAACTATGCAAAATATAATAGCTAGAATTATTCACTGTTTATATGTTACCCAGTGACTCTATCCCCTATCTTTATCTACTTTTAGCTTCTCCTTTATCCATAACTATTATATCCCATTTTATATCTGGGATTCTACCTCAGAATATGTAGTTAAAATTTAGGACCAGTAGTTACACTGTCTTAATTTCTTTGCTGGTTTTAGTGAGTTTTTCTGGACTCAGGAATGAGTCCCTTTCTCAGCCTAGTTTTCCATATGGTACTTTACTGCTGAAAAGGGCAGCGTTTATTTGAGTTTGAGGTGGGGATGGGGTGGCTGAGTGACAGATGTAGATATTGCTCTGAGTTCCTGGTCACTTTGGATTTCGTGTTAGGGTTCTTATACATGCCTTCACAGTGCTAGCAAATAGTCTGTCTTCTCATTCCTGGAATATTTAAAGATCATTTTCTTGTTGCCTTCTTTCCTGAGTACCACATTTTGGGGAGTATAAATTTATTGTCACAATGTTTTTTGCTTTTGTTTTAAAGAATGCTTCATTCTCTCAGTAATAAATGTCAAACAAGGCTGTGTTGCAGTAGTAGCTAACTGTACCACCTTCAACTTACATGTAACTGCCTGGAACCAGGCCAGATCCACTGCTAAGCATGTAAAGCCTGAGTCAGCTTTTATGTTTCCCATGATTTCATAGTTGCATATACTTCATCTTTCTTTCCTTTTGAGGCACTTTAGAATATTCTAATGCCTTATTCTTTTTAAAAAATATTTATTTAGTATCTTTACACAGTATCTTTATTTATTTTCATGTGGCGCTGAGGATCTGTCCCAGTGCCTCACACATACGAGTCAAGCACTTTACCACTGCACTAAAGCCCCAGCCCCTAGTGCCTTATTCTTATTAAATATGTTTTTGATAACTAATATTTGCTTATTACCATGTGTGAGATACAAAGGAGAATATGCGTCATTGCATATTGCATATATTGGGAACATTAAACTGTCTGGGTGACAATTTCCATACACAGTGTTATTAGAACCAGAAAGCACTTGGAACATTATAAGAGGCTTGTCAGTGAGCATTGGGAAGAATAGAAAGGATTCCAAGCAATAGGAAGAATGTTAGTAATTTTCTACTGTTAAAAATCTGGACTGCAGTTTGCTTATATTCCTTGAAACATGAAAGTCACATTGAAGCAAATAAGAGGCTAAGATTATATATTTAAAAATAGTAAACTGGGTGTGGTGGCTCAGACCCATAATCTCACCTACTTGGGAGCCTGAGGCAGGGGGATCATGGTTTAAGTGCTGTCTGGGTAACTTAGCAAGATCCCATCTCAAAAAATATGTTGGTAGACTGAATCCACCAGGTATTCTGAGAAGGAAGAGGATAGAAGGTCAGGTTGTTCATGATGAAGGTGAAGGCGTAGAGCTGAGGGTGGGCAAGAGCAAGTTGGTGACCATGGTAAACAACACAGGTGACCAGGTTGTACAGCAGCCTGTACATTATGGCATTTGTAAATAACATAGGCCACAGTAGTAGTTGTCATTAACTGAGTGGTTACAGTATACTGGACGCTTGACCAAGATTATCCCTACTTTATAGAGAAGACACAGAGGTTATCCTGGGAGTGAGAGTAGAGCGAATTTCCAGGACTAGAACCTTAACCTTGGAACAGAGAGTCTTCTTCAAGTATGCTCACAGTAGCACGGAGTTTTCACTCCACTTACCTGACTGGTGTCTAGAAGATAGGTGCAGATTTCACAGAAATATTTAACTGCTACAAATGTATAAGTTTGTATTGTGCCAGTCCTTAAAGAATAACCAGTATTTGTATAGTCTTATGTTCTGTGCTTTGTAAGCATTAACCCTTTAGCCTTTGGAGAGCTGTGTAAGGCATAGCACCCTCCCCATTGCACAGTGGGGATTAGAGACAGTCAGGTTTGTACAACTTGAACTGAAGACCCACAGCTTAGTGAAGCAGAGGTGAGACTGAAACCTGGGTTCATCTGGCACCAAAGCTCATACACCACGCTGTCTCCATAGACAAGTGTTTGTTTCTCAGATTTGCAAAACAGTATCCAAATTATTTCTCCAATTTTGATTAGTCTTACAGATTCATTCTGTTATCTTTGTATTTATGTATGTATCATGAGTTTGTCTTTGGTTCAGACTTTATAGTTTATCAATAAGACATTGTTAAATTTTCCTTTTTTTTTTTTTTTTTTAAAGGAAACCAGCAGGTTTTCTCATAACTTTGTTCTTGTCTTCCCCAGATGTACAGTAGGGACAAACATTAAAAATGAAGCAGAATAAGAATAGTTACCAGAGAATTAATGATTCTTTTAGGACACAGACTTGATTTAGCACATTTATTCTGTTTTTGGTTTTTTTGTGTATTTTGTTTTTCTAGTACTGGGGATTGAACCAAGGAGTGCTCTACCACTGAGCTGAATCCCCAGCCCTTTTTATTTTGTATTTTGAGACAGGATCTCACTCAGTTTCCAAGGTTGGCCTCAAACTTGTGATCCTCCTATCTCAGTCTCCCAAGTGAGTAGCTAGGCTTATAGGTCTGCGCCTCTGGGCCCAGCAGCACATTGATTATTTTAGTCAAGATTCCACGGTCATGTATGAGTACTTGCTTGCTGATCACAGAGTAATATGAGAAGGAGATGGTGAGCATGATTCGTTATCCTGGTCTGGAAGGCCAACAGTCTCCATACCCTTATTGAATAAGTAGTTAGTGGAAATAAAATTTGACTCCTGGCAGTGATGTCTTCTAAGAAAACTCAAGCATGTGAATGAGGCTATTCCTGCACACATACAGCTTCTGTTCTGTTAGGATTGTTGTTTGTAGTGCCTTTGAATTTAGGTGGCTTCCTATGAAGGTGTACTTTACTGGCTAATCTTCTCCACCCCTTCTCTTTTGTTGGGATTAGTGCCAGAACAGATAAAGCCCAGTGTAAGCCAGCCTCAGCCTGCCAACTCTAATAACGGCACTTCCACAGCAACCAGCACTAATAATAATGCCAAGCGAGCTACAGCCAACAATCAGCAGCAGCAGCAGCAACAGCAGCAGCCGCAGCAGCCGCAGCAACAGCAGCAGCAGCAGCAGCCGCCACCACCACCACTGCAGCAGCAGCAGCAGCAGCAGCAGCCGCCGCAGCCACAGGCCTTGCCTCGGTATCCTCGAGAAGTACCTCCACGATTTCGCCACCAGGAACATAAGCAGCTTCTAAAGAGGGGTCAGCATTTTCCTGTCATAGCAGCAAACCTGGGATCTGCTGTTAAGGTGTTAAACAGCCAGTCAGAAAGCAGTGCTGTAATAAATCAGCAGCCACAAAATAACGGAGAGGTGCAGAACAGCAGAACCGAGTCAGGTGAGAGAAGGCCCTTCTTACAAGACTCAAACGTTAGCATCATTAGCAAGTTTACAGATTGACAGCTGTTTTGGTGTTTCTCAGATCTGGGCTTTAATTTTAAAGTCCTGTACAGGGAGTTACAAGTGGAGAATCTTAAAATGTTTCCTGTAAGGTACCTGCCATCCTACTTGAAAATGAATATTTGAATAACTTTCTCGCCCTTTAGGTTCTGCCCACTTTAACAAGAAGCTTTTAGCTAAAGTAGACTTTGTAAGACTCCAGCCAAACTTGCGCTCTCTCCCCCACCCAGTCATGTGCTGTGCGGTTATGCATATTATTGCATCTAATCTTCAGCAACCCTGTGAAATGTTGTTTTCTTACTACTCTGTCTCCTGATTGCCCCAGGAGGAGTTATTTACTTCAGCCTCCACGCTACTTTATGTATACACCAAGTGTCGCCCTCTACATTGTACTATATATTATGGCATTTCACGGATAATAAGTAGCAGATTCTGGACCCATACCGAGATGTGATTCCAGAGCTGTTGCTCATGACCACCATACTGTGCTTTGGCGACATACTGGAAGTGTTAGGTAAAGAGGAAGAGGACACAGATGTGAATTTTCTAGCGTAGGTACTTACAGCAGCACATTGTCGTTGGGAATGATACAAACTTATCATCCTGAGTTCATCTCTAATCCCCACTCCCCTGGTCACGCAGTAGCTGTGTGAGACTGGCCAGATAGTGACCTTCTTTCTTAATCTCTAGGGTTGACAGTAGTACCCAATCCTGTGATTGCTTTGAGGTCTAAATATTACATGTAATGCCAATAAGTAGGCAGTTAGTAATTTGAATTTCATTGGGGAAATCAGGTTTAACATATTGGTCATCAGCATAAGAAAAAATGTCGTTAAAACCTTGGGAGATGATTTATACAATAAATGCTGGAGTGCGCTTTACTGAGAGCTGGTAGATAGCATAATTAAGAATGCACACAGCAAGGTGGCGCAGTACATTTAGAAACTTGTCCAGTGCGCTTCTTCAGTTTGGGAAATGAAAGAGCAAAGCTGTTTTTGAAATGGAAATAACAGAAATATAAGAATCTTATTTCTCAAAAATGAGTATGGATCCAAAAAATCCTAAAAGCATTGTAGGCATATGTTCAGATGAGAAGACTTAAGGTGTGAGTATAGGAGAAAGTCTTCAAAAAAACCCTAGAGGGAAAAACATCCTGCCCATTTCTAAAAGAACTTTACAAGGTGGACAGCATTAATGTGGAGGTTGAGATGGAAGTCAGGAGAGTGCAGGGGTCAGTTTGAAATTAAATGCTAAAGCAGTTAGAGAATGCAGGTGATGAAGCCAAGGCATCCTGAAGAACCAGATTGGCAGTTTTATCTTTTAATAAAGGTTGTGGTTCTCCTCCTGTCTATCAGCGTATCTCACATATTTACATTAAAATACCCTTACGTGTGCTTCTAGCAATGGTAGTGGAAACTCTGGCTGCAGAGTGGGCCAGTAGGACTCAGTGAACCTTGGAGGGGCCACGCTGAAGAGTCATCAGTACGAATAATGATGATCCCCTGACTGATTTTCATGGGGTGCTTACTCTAACCCAAATGCTGTGATAGCTTATTTAGTTCTCATGTCACAGGCCAGGGAGGGCCATCTTACAGACTAACAGCAGCCAAGTGGTCCGTGGAGAACAGTGTACAAACATTGTAAATAGCGTGAGCCCAGAGAGGTGAGAACTCTGTTGACGGTAACTACAGGCAGTTCAGGATTGTGAGAACACCATCTTCACTGTTTTTGTCTGTTTGTATTTGGCTCTTTTTGAACAGAGATGGTTAATGGAGTGGATTTAGCATTTAAATTACTGAATATGGTACATGGAAATTCACTTATTTCAGGTTTTCATGCTAAAAAGGAGCAGTGTTAGGTAGACTTCCTTTTCGTCCCTTAATATGTTTCTCATTTATTCAGTGTGGACAGAGCAAGTTTTGTACCTAGATGAGATTAGATAGTTTGTAAATCAGAAGTCACAAATGGATGCCTTCATGGGCTGGCAGGTAAGTGGAGTAAATGGTGGAAAGGGTGATGGGGACGGTGGTCAGTGGGTTTTGATTTTGTACCCTTGCTAAATACTTACACCTTTTCATTTTTATTGTTGTTAGGACCCTGTGGTGGTCAAATAGACAGCTCTGCAGGTTGAGTCCTGACCTGCCATTTTGTAACTGTGCTTGAAACACTTATTAATCGTTTTTTTTTTTTTTTTAATATTTATTTTTTAGTTATAGTTGGACCCAATACCTTTATTTCGCTTATTTTATTTTTAATGTGGTGCCGAGGTTCGAACCCAGGGTCTCAAACGTGCAAGGCAAGCACTCTACCGCTGAGCCACAAGCTCAGCCCCTAATTGTTTTAACTTAGACTTAAGACCTCTTTTTTTGCAGTTGACTTCTTAGTGCCCTGACGAGCCCAAATAACCCTGAATTAGGGGCCATGTAATAAGGCATTTCAGGAGGACTAATATGCTCAGCCACCTGGACAGCAGCAATAGTCTTTTGGGCCAAAATGATCTATTTCACTTTTTGTCATCCAACAAGATCCATAGAGAAATCAGTTAGACTAGAATAGTGACCACTAGTTCACCTTCCCCCCAGATCCAGTGGTTGTTAGCACAGTCCCATCTGGATCACACACACAGGGCACTCAGTGTCTCTTTTTTCTTTCATATGTGTCATAGACACACATGTGCTGGTGTGGTGGCGCACACCTGTAATCCCAGTGACTTGTGAGGCTGAGGCAGGAGGATCATAAGTTCAAGGATAGCCTTGGTAACTTAGTGAGACCCTGTCTCAAAAATAAAAAAGGGCTGGGTGCATGTAGTTCAGGCATAGCCCCTGGGTTAAATCCTGACCCCCTCCCACACAAGTTCATTATGGTTGAGTCATTGGAGGGTACATGGCAAACATGTCCTGGTAGCTACCCTAAGTATAAGGATGATTTCCTGTACAATGACAATATCATAATCACCCCTAAAGGAAAAGAATAACAGCAATTCAACAATGTCTCCTAATAGTTCATGTTCACCTTCCTGCCGGTTGTTCCAAGAATGTATTTTTGTTTGTTTGTTCACAGTATGATCCCTTTGTAAAACAAAGACTATAAAACAATATTACATGTCATTTAGGGATGAATAAAATACGGAAATTTACATGAGTGATTACCACTGGGAGATCTAAAGGAAATGAAGGAGCTATAAATCAGAGGAGGAGGCAGCGAGTCTTTTCCTGTAGACTAGCAATGTATTTCTTCAGGGGGGATACATGAGCGTTTTATGTATTATTATTATTTTAAAACCAGTGAAGTATATGTGTATAATTATGAGGGGGGATCTGTTGGAATGGCTTAAAAGTTTTTGGAGAATCACTAGAATACTGTCCGTGCACCTGTCAGTTTGTATTTTTTTTTTCAGCATAGTGTAACATCTTTGCTGTCTTGTAACTTATGTCTGGCTCTCAGTTTTCACCTTTCATTTGGTCTATAAACATGCTCACGTCTCTGTTCTCTTTGACAAAACAATCTGGTAAGTCCTGTACTTTTGAGTTCTTGCAGGATCTCTCCTTTTTCCGAGTTCTTGAAGTCTGTGCTTGCGATCTTTCATACATTTGCATTGATCCTCTGGAATCCAACTCCTGCTCACTTGACTAAAATAGTTCTTATTAAAGTCACTGATCTTCTAAATTTCCAATCAAGACTTTTAAAAAAATCACAATCATAGTTCAAAAGCAGTCTTTTCTATCTTAATGTGCCCCACCCCTGCCATTTGCCTCCTCTTTGCTAAATGAAGGTCTTTCATTGTGTGGCCTCTGTCACCATGTAGCTCTTGTTCTCCTCATACCTTTCTGTTCCTCTTCTGTATTTTACCGTTTTTCTTTGACCAGCTCTCAGATTTTATTACTTGCCGCATCATTGTTGCATATCTTTCCAAATTTTGGCTGTCTTTCTCCTGGATGTCTTCAACTGAAGTTGGAACCCTTAGACTCAGAGTGTTCAAACTTAAACTCATTACCTTGCCCCATACCACTTCCTCTGTCTGGATTCCCTTGCTCAAAAAAGCCAGCCTGTCCGTTCATCCAGTAGCCCTTCCAAAATCCTGAAATCAGGCTCAGACTCTTCCTTTCTTAGTGTTTCATAAGCTAGTGGTTCACTGCGCTGTATAATTTTTAACCTCAAATACTGGGTTTTTTATTTTTGTTTGAACTGAACTCCTTTCCGTCTCCTGCCAGTTGCCATGGTTGAGGTACTCACCATTTGGTCTAAAGTAAAATCCCCCCAAATATCTTTTTTTCTACCACCCGCACCCCAATTTGTCAGACCAGAAGCTAATCATGATCCATGTGTTGCATCTGGTGTGTTGTTATCTTTGTCGTCTTTATTCCAGAACCAAACCTCCATTAGTCCAGTTTTATTGAAAGGCTGCCATGCCTGTTGGGTTACATGTTGTTTGTGGCTGCTTTCAAGCTACAGTGCCAGACTTAAGTAGTTGCCAAAGCTGTCTATCTAGCCCACAAAATATTTATTAACTAGACCTTTACATAAAATGTTTGGTGACCCAGCACCAAAGGCTGAAATAACCAAAAGAGACATCATGGACTTTGTCACTTTTAAGAGCTATTTGAAATTGTGCATTTAAGGTTCTCTCATATTCTTGGTGGTCTATCTCACACTCCATGGAAACACTGTTAAACCTAAAGATTACTTATTTATTAAGCTCTTCTCTTTCTATAGAAATAAAGTCTAAGGTAGAAAAGCAAATAATTCGACTGTTTTGTTATATGTCATGTATTTTGTAAGAAAAAACTTGCTCATGAACTTACAACGGTCTAAATTCTTCCCACACATGCTGTTTATTAGCCACTTGAATTATCACCAGTCTTTGCTCCCTACATAATCTCTCTGAATAGAAGTACAGTAATGCAATTGTGTGTGTGTGTGTATGTGTGTGTGTGTGTGTGTGTGTGTTTGCTTGCTTCCAGTGCTGGGGATTGAATCCAGGGGTGCTTGACCAATGATACACATCCCAGTCCTTTATTTTTTGAAACAGGCTATCACTAAGTTGCTGAGGCTGTGATCCTAGGCCTCCCACGTTGCCAGGCGTACAGGTGTGCACCACCAGGACTGACTGTATTCTTCCTGAGGTGTAGTACTAGAGCTGCCCCCATTCTCTCTTGATGATTTTGTGTAAACGTAGGATGCTGATGCCATTCTGGATTCCAGATGTTTCTAAGTAACATGCAACCTTCTAAATCTTAGTTTGCTTATAGCATTATGGTTTGTAAAGATTTGCATTAAATTAAAAAAAAAAAAAAAAAAAACCTGCTCTTTTTCTTTGCATTACCACAGAGATTTACAGCCTTAATGTTTCTATTTCCTGGGGGAATAAAGTAGTGATAGGGCTGAGGCTGTAGCTCAGTGGTAAAGTGCTTGCCTCGCATGTATGAGGCCCTGGGTTCAATCCTCAGCACCACATAAAAAACAAACAAAAGCAGATACTGTGTGTTCATCTACAACTAAATAAATATTTTTTTTAAAAAAGTAGTGATAATCTACTTAATGGTATTCCTGTATGTTTATCCTCAGATATTTTGAACACCGGTGTTCCCCTTGTCTGAAAGGGGAAATATATTATTTAACTTCTTCAACTCTGAAATAGCTTCTGCACCTGTGATTTCTGAGGATGCATTTTCTTTTCTCTCCTTTAGTTGGAATTGTGTCTGTTTCCCCTCCATACCATTTAATTTTTCATCCTAAACTATAACTCTTTTCATAACTAAAAATGCCTTGTGACTTATCCTTGATGTACAGTTTTTAGAATGGTCTTTAATTTAGGTTTTGTTGAAACTAAAGTAGGATCCAGATTAAAAATGGAATTTTAGCTAATAATTATTCATGGTACCTCTCCTTACTTTCCTAAAAGAAAATATAGCAAAAGACAGTCTTAGATCACTACCAATGGTTCCAAAATCAGGACTAGACTAGAATGTGGGAACATTTTTTGCTAGTGTTAAAGGCAACAGAACTCTTTTGCAGAGTGAATTCTAGTGTTTGTTTTTCTGCTTTTCTTCATTCTGATATTAAAAGGTTCCACTTTAAAAATAAGTAGTCTAACCTATCATTCCTTTTGTAGTTTCTATGATTTGTGTATAAAAAATTCTATAACTTCATGGTTTCATCATTTGCCATTACACTTTTTTTTTTTTTTTAAATGGTGGTCATGATTGAACCCAGGGTTTTAGGCATGACTTACTTCTAATATTAATCATTTGGTATTATTTTGAATATATTGTCTCATTCGAAAATATTTTTCAAGTACTGAATACCTCCCCCACATCCAAAACACTAACCTTGACATATGCTTAGGACTATTCCTGGATTTTCTGTTCAGTATGTTTGCATATTCTCTCAGTGCAGTACTGCCTGATAATGTGAATTCCCTCCCTCATAAATTCTGTTTGAGATTTATTGGGGGAAGTGGAGTAGAGACTCCCATTTTTTAACATGAATCTTAAAATCACTTTTAATCATCATACATGGTTAATATGTTTAACAGTTCCTTGTAATTATGTTAAAATTGTTAGATCTTCCTATCTAGGAACAAGTTTCTGTACATAATCAAGTTGTCTTCTGTGACTTACAATAAAATTTAAAACGAGGGCTGGGGTTGTGGCTCAGCAGTAGAGCGCTCGCCTAGCACATGCGAGGTTCTGGGTTCGATCCTCAGCACCACATACATCTAGAAATTACATATATAAAAATTAAAATGAAATTTAAATATTTTTATTAGTATGTTCAAGTGATTTTATGAGTTGTACTGATTAGGATCTTTTTTCTATCACATTTTCTCATTGAAAATGGATATTGGAAAACTATTGTTTTTCACATGTTGGTCTTTTTGATCTTCATGAATTTATCTCTCATTTTGGACCCTATTTCCTGGGTTCACATGTCCAGGGTAGAGTTTAAGAGTGTTGATGACAAGTGTCCTTGTCTTTCTCCTATTATTGTGGGAATGCTGCTGACACTACATTGTTAAATTTTGGGTCATTCTTTTATTTTTACTTGAGTCGTTTTGTTTTAGATGCCCAATCTCTTTTTCTTACTTTATAAAAGTGACAACACACATGGAAAATAATGGCAGCAGAAATACTTTTGCAGTAATCCAGGAGAGGACAGAAGTGATGGCTGAAGGAAGTATTCTAGATTTAGAAGAAAAGTCTGGATTCAGGACTTGGTTATGTTTGGGATTTTCTGTACACAGCAAGGAATAAAGGATAAAGGGTTTTAGAAACTCACTGAGTTGAGGAAATCTAGGAGAGTTCTGTCTCCCCTTTTTTGGGAGGAGACATCTCTTGGGAATAAAAGTCCAGTTATTCTGTGCATGATATCAAGGAGGAGATTTTAAGTAAGCAAGTTCTATGAGTTCTCATATTCTTCATCAGGGAGACCTGGTAGAATGAAAAATATGTTCTGGAGAATGAAAAATGATAATAATCTTTAGCATGCATTAATTAATGATAATAATGGCCTTCATTTTTTAAGTGTTATATGAATCAGATATGGCTTATAGTTGTTAATCATTTAATCCTCATAACAGTTGCATTAGATTGGTACTATGAAGAAACTAAGGCAGAGATCCTGCTTGTGATCATACAGATAGTAGATGGTAAAATGTCTCAGACTCTGTGCTTTTGATTACTACTTACCTTGCTGACAGTGTGAGCTAAACGTTTTGCATAAGATGGTACAGTCGGCAAAGTAACTAGGTTAGGAAGTACCCCTGCTTCACAGATTTTGTCACAAGTCTACCGCATAGAATCCAGACTTGAGTCAAGTTGCCTCTATAGACTCAGCCATGTAGTCACCTTGCTTCATGAAGGATTCTGACAGATCTCTCTTGGTTTCTACAAATTAACTTCTGAATGGTGATTTTCTCATCTGGAGAGCAAAGGTAATACCTATCCTGTGGGGTTATGAAAGTGTGTTAAAGCTCACGACATGTAGCTGAACATCTGTTGATGGGCTGGTGCGGACGTCAGTATGCTGATTTGTTTTTACTCCGTGAGATTGACTTTTTAGTACCCTTTATTTCATGAGAAATTCTTTTCATGTGCGTTGAAAGATAACAAACTTTTCATCTGATAACTTAACAAAATGATTCCTAAGCAGGGAGTAGAGATTAGAGTCACCTATGAAGCTTTAATGTATATATTTGGTGAATTACATATACATTTCTGGTCTCTGTAGTCCCTTTTCCTGCCACTCTTTCTGGCTTATCATCTGTTACTTCCTAACAGTGTATACTTTGAGAGATAATGATACAAGCAGAATCTGATTTTCCATATTAGCAAAACTCCCTAGTAGCAATTTACATTTATTTCCTAGGCTTTATAACCATGAAGTATGGGACATGCAGGGCATGGGGGTGCATGCCTGTAATCCCAGCAGCTTGGGGAGGCTGAGGCAGGAGGATTGCAGCCTCAGCAACTTAGTGAGACCCTGAGGAACCCAGCAAGACCTTGTCTCTAAATAAAATATAAAAAAGGGCTGGGGATGTGGCCCTAGTTAAGCGACCCTGGTTTTAATCCCTGGTACCCACCCCACGCCCCCCCCCCCAAAAAAAAAAAAAAAAAAAAAACCCTCCATGGGACATGATGTGTGCATTTAAAAGCTCTACATGTAATTCTGATTCTTACTCTAGTAGAGAACTACAACATAACCCCCTCAAGACGGGCTGAATGCAAACATCTTTTGTAGTTAATATCCCTGAGGAATTTCTACCTTCCAGAGCCTTAAACCAAATGACAATAAAGAACCTGGGAATTATCAGAAATGTTCGGATTGCCCAGCCTGTGGTGAAGTAACTAGATAATAATACATAGCAGACAATCTCAGATTGTAGGATTATATGGCTGATCATTTGTGGTTCTTAATGTCAGCAGCTGACTTTTATCATAATGATTTGGTGATCTTTCATATGTCAATCGTTGTGTTTTTTTTGTTGTCTCTTTTAATAAACTTGGCTTTGCAGGTAAAAATCTTATTGAGTCAAGCTAAAAATAATTCTTGTTTGTGTGCAGTATTTTAGCTGAATGTAAACACTGAAGAAATGGAAATATAATGGATAAAACTTTGGAATTCTTATAAACTGAAAAGAGTTGTATGGACAGGCTATTCTAGGAAGCAGAATGGGAAAAGGATCCCTAATACATTGCTAATATATTTTATCAAGTTTAGGTTATTTATCTTTACCTGCCTTCATCTCAGCCTCCTCTTTCCCAAGTCCAGCCTGTGAGTCTGGGTTGCTCCATTATTATAACACATCACTGCCACCAGTCCCTCTGACATCAGAATTCTTTTCTGGCTGATGTGTTAACAGTTCATTCATCCAGCATTTATTGAGGGACTGTTATGTTCCAGGGCTGTAGGATAATATTAATGAGCAAAGCTGCAAAATCCTCTGTCTGTGTAAACTTACTGGATATGGAAAGTTGGTGGCTGAAAGATAAGCAGTGTTCTTGTAACCATCCTGCCAGGCGCCTTATCTTATTAAAGTGGAGGAACCACATGTAGTTTTGACATACTTGCCATTTTTCTGAGACTGTTTTGTGTCATTTTGAAAATGACTAGCACTTTATAAACTGTGCCTTTCTCCTTTATTCTAGATATAAACCACAATACTTCAGGATCCCATTATGAAAATTCCCAGCGGGGACCTGTGTCTTCTACGAGTGACTCCAGCACAAACTGTAAGAATGCTGTTGTGAGCGACTTGTTGGAAAAAGAAGTATGGCCTTCAGTCCCTGGCAGTGATCCAGAATTGGCTTCAGAATGTGTGGATGCTGATTCTGCCTCCAGTTCTGAATCAGAGAGAAACATCACTATCATGGCTTCAGGGAGCACAGGTGGTGAAAAAGATAGCCTTCGGAATAGCACTGGACTTGGTTCCCAAAACAAGTTTGTGGTTGGTAGCAGCAGCAATAATGTGGGCCATGGAAGCAGTACTGGACCGTGGGGGTTTTCCCATGGAGCCATAATAAGCACATGTCAGGTCTCTGTGGATGCTCCTGAAAGCAAATCAGAAAGTAGCAACAATAGAATGAATGCTTGGGGCACTGTAAGTTCTTCATCAAATGGAGGGTTAAATCCAAGCACTTTGAATTCAGCTAGCAACCATGGTGCCTGGCCAGTATTAGAGAACAATGGACTTGCCCTAAAAGGGCCTGTAGGGAGTGGTAATTCTGGCATCAATATTCAGTGCAGTACCATAGGCCAGATGCCTAACAATCAGAGTATTAACTCTAAAGTGAGTGGTTCTTCTACCCATGGTACCTGGGGAAGCCTTCAGGAAACTTGTGAATCTGAAGTAAGTGGTACACAGAAGGTTTCATTCAGTGGTCAACCTCAAAATATTACCACTGAAATGACTGGACCAAATAACACTACTAACTTTATGACCTCTAGTTTACCAAACTCCGGTTCAGTACAGAATAATGAACTGCCTAGTAGTAATACAGGGGCCTGGCGTGTGAGCACAATGAATCATCCTCAAATACAGGCTCCATCAGTTATGAATGGCACTTCCCTTTCTCATCTTAGCAATGGAGAGTCAAAAAGTGGGGGCTCTTATGGTACTACATGGGGTGCCTATGGTTCTAATTACTCTGGAGACAAGTGTTCCGGCCCTAATGGCCAAGCTAATGGTGACACTGTGAATGCAACTCTAATGCAGCCTGGCATCAATGGGCCTGTGGGCACTAACTTTCAAGTTAACACAAATAAAGGAGGAAGCGTTTGGGAGTCTGGGGCAGCAAATTCCCAGAGTACGTCATGGGGAAGTGGAAATGGTGCGAATTCTGGAGGAAGTCGAAGAGGATGGGGAACCCCTGCACAAAACACTGGCACTAATATACCCAGCGTCGAGTGGAACAAACTGCCTAGCAATCAGCATTCCAGTGACAGTGCAAACGGCAATGGAAAGAAGTTTACAAATGGATGGAAGTCTACTGAGGAAGAGGATCAGGGTTCTGCCACATCTCAGACAAATGAGCAAAGCAGCGTGTGGGCCAAAACAGGAGGTGCAGTGGAGAGTGAGGGTAGCACAGAAAGCACTGGACGCTTAGAGGAAAAAGCAACTGGGGACAGTCAGAGTCGAGACAGAAGAAAACTTGATCAGCACACATTACTCCAAAGCATCGTGAACAGAACTGACTTAGATCCACGTGTCCTGTCCAACTCTGGCTGGGGACAGACTCCTATTAAGCAGAATACTGCCTGGGATACCGAAACATCACCCAGAGGGGAAAGAAAGACTGACAATGGGACCGAGGCCTGGGGAAGCTCTGCAGCACAGACTCTTAACTCAGGGGCATGTATGGAGAAGACTGGCCCTAATGGTAATGATACCTCAGCTGTATCGGGGTGGGGCGATCCCAAGCCTGCTCTGAGGTGGGGAGATTCCAAAGGCTCAAACTGCCAGGGGGGGTGGGAAGATGATTCTGCTGCTACAGGAATGATCAAGAGCAATCAGTGGGGGAATTGCAAAGAGGAGAAGTCTGCGTGGAATGATTCGCAAAAGAACAAACAGGGATGGGGTGATGGACAGAAGGCAAGCCAAGGTTGGTCCGTTTCTGCCAGTGACAACTGGGGAGAAACCTCAAGGAGTAACCATTGGGGGGAGGCTAATAAAAAGTCCAGCTCAGGAGGTAGTGACAGTGATAGGTCCGTTTCTGGTTGGAATGAACTTGGTAAAACTAGTTCTTTTACTTGGGGAAATAACATAAATCCAAATAATTCATCAGGATGGGATGAATCTGCTAAACCTAATCCTTCCCAGGGATGGGGAGACCCTCCAAAGTCTAATCAGTCTCTAGGTTGGGGAGATTCATCAAAGCCAGTCAGTTCTCCGGACTGGAACAAGCAACAAGACCTTGTTGGGTCCTGGGGAATCCCACCAGCTACAGGCAAACCTCCTGGCACAGGCTGGCTGGGGGGACCCATACCAGCCCCAGCAAAAGAAGAAGAGCCCACAGGCTGGGAGGAACCATCCCCAGAATCCATACGACGCAAAATGGAGATTGATGATGGAACTTCTGCCTGGGGAGATCCAAGCAAATACAACTACAAAAATGTGAACATGTGGAACAAAAACGTCCCAAATGGCAGCAGCCGTTCAGACCAGCAAGCACAGGTACATCAGCTGCTGCCTTCTGCAAGTGCCATCTCCAGCAAAGAGGCAAGCAGCGGCTCTGGTAAGCTTCCACTTTGTGGAGTCCCCTTTACGAAGGCTCTGTATCAGCCGCACAAAGGCCTTTCCTCTAATCTGGAAAAGCCTGGCGGGGAGATGAGGGGTGATGTTCACCCAGGTAGTTGAGCTCCACCTTGGCAATATTGTTCCCTATTGGGAGTGTATTATCTGAAAAGTGGGGTCAGGTGGGAGTATGCTATACTTCTCTCATTGTTTTGAGTCAGGGCTTCATTTGGTTTTATTATTTGACTAGAATACCTTGGAAGTAAAACAGTTTTCTGAATACTGTGCTCTCTAGACATCATTGTACTTGGCCTAGGAAGAAAGGTTTTTTTGGTATGTTTTAGGGTGCTGGCGATTGACAGTCAAGTGCCCTTCAGCTGGTTTTCTTTTGTTTGGTTTTTGGTTTTGTTTAGGTAGGTATGCAGTCCAGGTCTGTTTAGGTGCAGGTGTGTATGATTGAACATTTTGGTGATACCTTTCTTGTGTATTCCTATTTCCATATAGTGGTCTAATTCTTATCTCTACAAGTTATTTTCACAACATTGACATGCACTGTCTTTGTTAATGGATTTTTTGTTGAATAGTCTTATCATACATAGAGATAGGGATGTTTTCATGGACTTACTTGTCAGTCAGCACCTAATTTTTTAAGTCTGAGTCTTAGGTTTAATTCTTAGAAGAAACACTTATTTATCTAAGGGAAAGCCTCTCCTTGTTGAGGTTCTTTTAACAAAATGTTTATGGCTTTGATGTTGTTGGCTTTGGACAACTTCAGTGTAATATTTTTTTTTCAATATTTATTTTTTTAGGTGTAGATGGACACAACACAATGCCTTTATTTTTATGCGGTGCTGAGGATTGAACCCGGGTCCCGCCCGTGCTAGGCGAGCGCTCTACCGCTGAGCCACAATCCCAGCCCCTCGGTGTAATATTTAATAAGTATTATCCAACATATATAAAAGTAGGATACTTAGCTATTGTTAGTCATTGGTAAAAAATTATAGTCATGTAATTAATAGTATAAATTTTTACACTATTACCCAACTTAATCACCTTAAATTCACTAGGTTTGGTTTAGAAAGATTTTACTAGGAATTAAGCTAATCCATAAAGGAGGATTTTTTTTTTTGGGGGGGGGGTACCATGATTAAGGTTATTCAAAAGGATCTACTATAGGCCCATAGGGCAATTTTGAAAGAAGAGGTTTAAAAAAAAAAAAAAAACATGAAGTTAAATTTGTCATTGGGAAGTGGTTTGTCGTCTTTTTATAAAACAAATGCCTACCACAGAATCATTATTTATATGTAAATGTGGAATTCTTCATCCTTGATTCCCAAGTATTCTTTATTGCCCCTTATTCCACTGTACTTTCTTAACATCTATGCTGATGACTTTTTTCCCATACTTTCTAAAGGCTGGGGTGAGCCCTGGGGGGAGCCTTCTACTCCAGCCACAACTGTGGATAATGGTACTTCAGCATGGGGTAAACCCATAGACAGTGGTCCCAGCTGGGGGGAACCCATTGCTCCGGCATCCAACACATCCACCTGGGGCTCCAGCTCTGTTGGTCCACAAGCGTTAAGCAAATCTGGTAAGTTACCCTTGATCCCTGGAAGCTAGTATGTAGCACTGACTACTGTTGAATAATTGGATAATACTTGTACATTGTTGATGATGTGTGGGTGTACTGTGGTATACAAGATGATACTCAGCACTTGGCTCTTTGAGTTTGTAACATGATTTATTCTTCTGTCTCCTGTCTAAATTTTTTTTATGTTCATTTTCCTCAAATTGTAATCATTAATGATTTACATACTTCTTACCAAGTTTAAATTATATTTTACCAAATTGGACAATCTATAAATAGTCTGACATCTTTCGTGCCATCCAACCTGAGAGGCTGAAAGAATATAACATGGGACACATCTCCAAACTGCCAGATGTTTCTCAAAAAGTTCATTTAATTTGAGAGACACCTAAGATTCAGATCAACCCTGTCACTGTCCCACTCACTGTGTATATTAGACCTTATTGGAATCCCAAAGGCCGTGTATAGGGAGAAACTGCTTTCTGCCTTTGAGTTCTAAAACTCTTTGAAAATATTTATCAATTTGATCTTTTCAAATTTCATTTGTGTCGCTATGCAGATTAATTGGGAACCCATGAAAGCCACCATTGTCTGTGTTTAGGGACCCTATAATTGGTAAAGGCATAGGGGAAGATTTAATGAAAATAAATTCTTCTTTAATTGGACTTTTAGCTCTGTATAAAATGTACATTCCTATTATGCAAATTTGGCAAAAGAAATAGTGTTTTGTTTTCTTTTGTTTTAGGTTCCCTCTCTCCACTCTTTAATGTATACTTTCTTCTAGAAAGAATTGTTTTATTAAAAGTCTGTTTCTATCACAAATCCACAATCAGGGCCAAAATCTATGCAAGATGGCTGGTGTGGTGATGATATGCCATTGCCTGGAAATCGCCCCACTGGCTGGGAAGAGGAAGAGGATGTAGAGATTGGAATGTGGAATAGTAACTCATCTCAAGAGCTTAACTCATCTTTAAATTGGCCACCATATACCAAGAAAATGTCATCGAAGGTAAACATTTCAAGGGCAAAGCCCTTGAAACTTTCATTTCCAAAGGTAGTTTACCCACAGAAAATTAACCTCCTGCCTGCCCATTTATGGCTATCAGTGTAGTCCAGGCAGTCCCCAACTTAGGTACAGCCTCTTATATGGGCAGCCACCTAGGAAAACCGAAGCCCACAGGAACTTCCTTTCTCCCCACTGCTACAGCTTGGGATCTCTCTCCGACTCCCCTCCACTAGCGCTGCCCGGGGCGACCCCGCCTCCCAGGGTGGTGCCTGCAGTGGTGAGGATGGAGAGAAGGCAGATCTCCATGGTGACGCTTGGCATCCCACTGCCAGTCCTCCCATTCCACCTCTTCACCAGAGCCCCTGACATCCCCCTTACCCAAGTCACCATTCTCCTATTCATCTGCCACCTTTGGCCCTTCCTCATCCCAGAAGGTCCTATGACAAAAATCCCTAGATATGGGCTGAGTTTGATTTTTGTTTTAATATGTGGACAGATTGTATTCCCAAACCTGGTTTATATCAGAATCATCTGGCATTTGTTAACAGTATCTTTTCCTGTACCCCAGGTCTCTTGAAGTTTTGGAAATAGGGTCAAGTGTCCTGTCCTAAACGTTCCCCAGATGTCTCTGATACAGATCCAGGTTTAGGAACCTCTAATTTAGAGCACTGGTTCTCTAAGAGGTGATATTGGGTGTCAGATTCTCCTGGGGACATCTTTCAAAATATGTGCCTAGTCTCCCAGGTGGTTCTAACATGTCCTTCCCACCCTATTTGACTTCTGGGTGACCTTAGACGTCAGAGATCCAGTGGGTGGCTGGACTGGCTGGCTGCCAGAGTTCCCCTTTTCATCCTGGGATTCGCAGTCTAGGACCTGCCATTTTTACCTCATACTTTCTTCATTTGGCTGAGTTTGCCTATTGCCTTGCCATATGGCTTATGAAACGCTTCTACATGAATCATTTGATCCTCACAACCTTCTAAGATAGGATACTGATGAGGAATTTGAGGCTGCAAAAGGTGGTGACTTGCCCAAATTTGCATAACTAGTGACAGAGCAAGGACTTAAGCTTAGGTCTTCCGATTCCAAACCCTGTGTTCTTCCCACTGGACCATGCTGTTTTGTGACTTTGTCTTTCCTTACAGGGTCTGAGTGGCAAAAAAAGGAGAAGGGAAAGGGTGTGTAGCCTTTTTACTCTTTCTCCTTTGTTTCTACTAGTAAAATTCTTTAGAAAGCAACTGCAAACATTTATTTAGCTTCTGCTGTGTGCCAGGTACTGTGCTTGGTGCTGGGGATTAAAATTCACTTAAGAGATGAGCTGTGCATTCAAGGAGCTCATGATTTCATATGGGGCATTAGGAGAGCTTCCTAAGAGTGTCAGCTGGAATTTGGAAGATGCCTGGGGTGGGATGTATTAAGGAGAATAGAAGCCTGACATTACTAAAAGGCAACTTTCTAGAAAGAAGTGGTAGGAGATCTGGCTCTGTAGTTAAATTAGAGAGATTATTAAGGTATTCTCAGTATCATGCCAAGGAATTTGAACTTTATTTTACATAAAATATGGAGCCAATGAAAAAGAATAGAAGAGAACATCAGTGAATTTTTTAAAAACTAGCCAATGATAGTATGAAATATAAATTGGAACAGGAGAGACCAGATTTAGGAATCGCAGGAAGCTTTTCCATTAATTCAAGTTAGAAAAGAGGGTTTGATTTGGGAAATTAGAATAAATGTGTAGTTGAAGGGACTAATTTGAAAGACATTTTAGAATTCAAGGGACAGAAAACTTGGCACCTAGTTAGAGGGGGCGGGAGTGAAAGGAAAAGGAATCAAAGACGACTTGAGAGCCTTGGAGAGGGTTAGGTGCTTGCTTCAGAGACCTGCATTTAGGGGGTTAATTATGAAGCTGGGTTCTGTTTCACAGTCAGAAGGAACAGGTAGTAGCAATGGGAAAGGGAAATTCAGGCCACAGACTTGAGGATGGTCTGCAGTCTTCACATGGACGGGAGACCTCGGTTTCTGAGACTCCGGCCTCTGTCTACCAGGCTGCTGCTGATCATGTGCCTTCATTGTTTCAGCCCGGGTGTCAGGGTGGTGTCTGTACCTTCCGTACCCCAGCCAGCCTCAGAGAGCCAACAGGAAGCGGGAGGGATCCAGCTTCCACTGCTGCTGGAGATGCTGTGTTCTTGGCAACACAAATAGAAAGTTTAAATATCTTTTCATGGGGAAACACATGGTGTTTCTTCAGTATAGTACACATAGCATAATTAAAGGTTAAATTATTTTTTTTGGACTAACTTGAGAAGTGAATCACTATTTTTCACTTTGGTATGAGAATTCTAAAAATCCAAATTATAATAAATCTTACAGAACAGAGTCCATTTGTAGATTGAGAACTGCCCAGTGGACAGGTCCTCATTGTTCAGAGGCCCCTTTTTCATTTAGGGGGTCCTCAGGGCCTTTGCTTCTGTCTTTTCCTTCTGACTGCCTGCCTTTAGAGATTTCTCTGTACATTACAGCTATATCAGAGGACTGGAGCAAAGGAAGTTGAAAATCAAATAAGTTGCTTTTATAATGTCAACAACTCTGATAAGAGTTGGTTGGAGGAGAAATTATTGGCTAAAAATGAGAGTTGGGAATTGTCTTGAAGTTTTATTTAATCCATCACTATACCCAGATAAATAGAGATGGCCATGGCATCTTTTCTACTCTTTTATTTTACAAAGGGAATGATGAAAGGTGGAAACAAACAAGAAGAAGCATGGATAAATCCATTTGTTAAACAGTTTTCAAATATCAGTTTTTCGGTAAGTGTGTTTTCCAGTAGCCCCTCCCCTTTCGGTAGTGGTCCATAATTTATCCCAATTTCATATTTTTGTTTTCTTAAAAGTCATTCCTCATCCTTGGGTCCTTAAAATATCATTGCAGTTAGAGTAAAATTGACCTTCAAACCTTAATTTTTATAGTTTAAGCTAAAAACCCAGATCACATCTCATTGAAAGTTTTTTACATTAAAATATAATGAAAAATGAAGCTTTTGTGAAATACACTAAAATTCACTTTTATTTGTTTTCATTAACATTAAGTTCTGCTAACATGTTACTTTTTCTTATTTCAGAGAGACTCACCAGAAGAAAATGTACAGAGCAATAAGATGGACCTTTCTGGAGGTGAGAGAAAATTAAATCAGTTTGAGTTTATGTTGATCTCTGATGAACAAGTGCATCTAAAATACGGCCTTCCTCGGGGAGCCCTCACCCATCCCAGGAGAGACCCCCTGGGTGTGGTTCAATGAGTGCACGTACGCACGTCAGTGGGGGTCTAAGGTAGTGGCGATGGTAGTCTGTTATTAGAGTCCTATCAGCAGTGGGTTTTGCCCAGAGGGAGTTGGATTTTCTCAATCAGGGAACCACGTGTATGGAGGCCTAGATGTGACCGGGGTGTCTTAAACCTTACTGGAGAAATGGCAAGTAGTTCCCTGTAATGAGGCCAGAAATACAAAAGTGATGGTCAGAAGAGGGTGGTGTGAGTGGCAGATAATGCAGCTCCCCTTGGGTAGAGATGCCTAGAGAGCCAGGCACTAAATCGGGGGGAACTTGGGGGCCTGACCTTTCTTCTGAAAATATGAGATTAAGAGTTTTAAGCAGAGAATTGCATGATTTAGGTTTATGTTTTAGAAAAAATAACCCTAGGCATAGATTGAAAGTAGCTCAGGACAGAAAACAGCAGCAGCAAAGGGTGCGCCGAAGACCCTCGAGATGACGCACTGGGCAGAGCCCTGCTGCGGTAGCTGTGTTGCCTTCCAAGCTCCAAACTGAGAAAGTGCCTGGAAAAAACCTACTCCCATGGCGATATAGGACTGGAATCATCAGAAATTGATGATCAGCTGTCGCTGATGTTGTTGCAGAGGGTGAGGGGAGTTGTAATGAAAGCTGCCTCAGCTTCCTCACCTGCGCAGTGCCGTGGGTGGTCTGGGCAGAAGAGAGGAACTTTAAGAATTATTAACTCTAGCAAGGAATTAGCATAGCAAGGAATTGGTCAGAAAAAGGTGAAAGAACTCTGAAGATTCTATGAGTAGCACACAGAAGAAGTCACCAACCTTGGGATGGAGATGGCATGCATCCTGCCCCCTGCTGAACTCCCGTCTCCTGGGCACAGCCATGGCTTACTGCTGAGCAGAGAGTAGTCATTGTGATGCCACCCCAGAGGAATTGTGGGAAGTGTACCCTTCAGGATAGCAAGCAGAGAGTGACAGCCTAGGAGAGGCGTCTCACTAGTGGCACTCCACTACAAAACTGCCAGAGGGGTGCCTGGTGGAAGCCGCGGGTTCCTGGCAAGGTGAGCTTGGGAGAGCTGCCTGTGTAGCCGGAGAGAGCACACCAGGCCCGGGAGCCAGGTCTTTTTACAGTGTCTCTTCTGCACACTCTGTTGACGTGGCTTCAGTGCCGGCTAGCAAAGGAAAAAATATGTAACAGGCTGAATCCATTACTTTCACAAAGCAGCCAGAAAGGTTGAGTAATCAGTACAGTTCAGCCCCCCCTCTGACCACTCACCTTCCACGTACATCCTTCTGTACACGTGGAAACTCTGCTCACAGTGGCAAACTGCTCTTTCTGCGTAACAGAATGCAGCTTTCTTTCTTAAACATGACGAAGATGAGAAGCTGTGCAGTCCCAGTTGTCATTGTACCAGTGTTGGCCCTATTAATTTCCCCTTGAGTTCAGCCACAGTTTCTTACCAAAAACACTAAATTATAAAGTTCTTCTATTTAACTTTTGAGTAAGGTAAAAATGAGAAAGAGAAGAAAGGTAACGGTCGACCCAAACAGATTACCACAAACCTGGAACAAGCAGTGGAAACCATGTCAGGCCACTCCAGGGCTGAGGTCCCTTCCTCTGGTGGAAGTGCTTAAAGTATTGGAGTGTTTTGGATTTTAGAATATTTACATAAACTACTGGTTTATGTAATCCCTAATCCAAAATGCTTCAAAATCCAAAATTTCTTGAGTATCACATATGCAAAAAGTTTCAGATTTGGGGTTTTCAGATTGGGGTGACTTACCCTGTGCCGTCCTTATTCAATAGCTGGTCACAACCTGCCGTTAGTGTCAGTGTCTTCCTTCTTTCATTGTTATCCTTTATTTACTCTGCTTTCAAGTTGAACCTTGACTGTTCTAGGCCCCTTAACGGGTTGGATGATCCAAACCTTTATTTTCAAAGGATTGGAGCTGCATTTCTCCCTGTCCCTTTTAGTTGCCTATAATGTTGGGCAAGGGACTGTGCACAGCGCCCAGAGAAACCTCTGGGTTCCGCAGTCTTCACTGCTTTCATTCTGAGTCAGAAAACCACTCTCCCCTTGGTAGTCAGAACCAGCCTGTTTCTGCCCGTCATAGGAGTCCCCATGTCCAGGCGGCCATCGCCGTTCTCCGTTGTGTGGAACCATTTTTGTGTCTTTTGGAGGAAGCATTTTCTCTCTCAAGGACTAAGTTCTCTAAATGGAGCTATCAGACAGGAAGCAAGAATTCTGTAAGTGGCCTCGTAGGTGTGATTGTGAGGGAGACCACTCCCGCCTTCATCTTTTTGTTTGTGGATTCTGGCTGTGGGAGAGATTCATACTTGTTTCCTGCAAGACAGAAGCCCTCCGCTGAGCATGTTGTCCCCTAACTTGCTTTGTATTGAGTCTTCAGTGGCCACCCTACCCATCACGTGGCTAGCCACCTTCAGATGATGGTATAGGTAGTAAGGCCAGTTAATTCCCCTATTGTACTTCCTTTGCTATGGAAAAAAAAATATTCTTTTTGATCTTTTTGTTTGTGGGGTTAGTTTTTTGTTTTGTTTTTGGTTTTTTAACTCAGGGGTACTTGCCCACTGAGCCACACCCCCCAGCCCTATTTTATATTTTATTTATTTAGAGACAGGGTCTCACTGAATTGCTTAATGCCTCGCTTTTACTGAGGCTGGCATATGAACTCGAAATCCTCCCCCTCGGCCTCCCTAGCCGCTGGGATTACAGGTGTGCACCACCGCACCCAGCTGAAAAGAATTCTTGACCTGAAATGTGGCTTGATTTGACACTGTCCTCTGACAAGGGACAAGGTACTCTGTGAGACCATAGATGGCAGAAGCTTTATAGACTAGAAAAATCCACATCCAGAAGATGCATGTAGCCCTGTGAGAACAAATTTCTACTTCTTCCACGGCTCACTGAATGACAGAAGTAGCTCAGATGTCATGCTAATGGAACTTGCTGGAAATCTGTCCTCTGAGGTGCTGGGGGAAGCTGTTCATGGAGAGACACTGCTCACCAGAGACACTGCTCCGAGACTGGAGATTTGGAAGAATGCTGGGAGAAGCTGACCACTGCGTGCTACTGACCACCCAGGCCCTGGAGAAGCTGGGAGTGCAGCTGAAGCCTGCCCAGAGAGCGCTGGGCCAAGGAGGCCACACTTTTTCCTGCACTCTCTCCGGCGCCCTCTACTGACCAAACCTCAGTGCCAGATGGCAAAGGAAAAACGATTCCAAGGGGTCTGTCTGTTCATAGAAGAGGCAAAAAGGGTGAAACTGGAACTGAGAGACAACAGACCAATAGCTGGAAATTATTTGAGATAAGAATATAATAGAAATAGCAGGTTCAATAAGATATTGAGTTTGAAGTTACTGTCAAGACCATGTTTAGTAAGCAGAAGTCTGGATGTCAAGCCAGAGTAGATAGGACATGTAATTACCTGGACATGGTTGGTAGTGAAGCCACAGGATTGATCAGAGAGAGATGTAGAGTAATGGACCAAAGACGCAATCCTGAGTAATAACAAATAACATTTAAGGAATGATCCTGAGAGAAGCAGGAGAAGTTAGAGTAATTTTTGAGAAGCCAAGTGAGCATAGAGTCTTGAAAAGAAAATGGCTGTCATGGAGTAAGTTTGACAGTAGGGTAAATCATTGGTTTCTAAAGGGCCTTATTAATGGAGTGATGCACTGAGGGGAAATCACCAGGTTTGGCACCGAGTTGATTCTGAAAGGGATGTGGAAGTGTTGGGGAATGGTTTGTGGAGAATATTTTAATAAACTTTTAAAAGATTATTTGCACAGAATAATGTTGATTATCAGGAAGGAACAACTTGGGAAGACTTTAAAAAAAAAGAGTTGGTTGAATTTGGTTGTAGGAGTAGATGTAGAGAGTTAGGCCAAGAATTCAGAATGACTGGGCTGAGTGTGTGAGTGAATAGTGGTGCCATTCACGGGGAAAGGAAACAGAGGAGTTGTTTATTGCAAAGGATTATTGACACTCCGGGGAGCTCTGACGGTGGGTTGCTGAGGTATCTGACCCACAGCTGGAACAGTACTTCAAGAAACCAGAAGCATTTTCAGTACTCAAGAGGTGGAGTCAGGAGGATCACAAGTTCAAGACCAGCCTCAGCAACTTAGTGATGCAGTGTATAACTTAGCGAGACCCTGTCTCAAAAAAGTGGGGAGGGCTGGGGAGATGGTTCAGTGATTAAGTGCCCCGGGTTCATTTCCCAGTACCAAAAAAAGAAAGAAAAGACACTAACGGCATTTTCAAAATGTACCTATTTTAAGAATTTTTTCCTTTCTTCAAAGTTTTGTCTTTTCCACTTGCCAGGAATAAGGGTATGTTTTCTGACGGTGGAAGACATCTCAAAAAGTAGCAACTGCAAAGAATGGATGGTTTGTGGATTGAGAAAATGTGTAGAATGAAGTAGAGTGAAATGGAAATCTGTTGGAGGGGACTGGGGCCCTGATGTGGGTGTGCTGAGCAGGCCATGAAAGGCTGAGGCTGAGCCGCAGCATGGAGTCACGGGGTCACTTAAATGGGGTGACTTGATGCCTTGGTAGTGAGAAAAGTCTAAAGGCAGCAAGTTTACAGGAAGGTAGTGAAAAGGCAGACAGCAAGTCTTAGTGTGTTCCCGTGCTGAAGAGTCTTGAAGTGGAGAGAAGTGGAAAAGTGCCAGTCCAGCCTGGCATAGGGAGAGCTGGGGAAGCGAGAGCATTGTCCACTTTTAAAAAGATTGGTTGAAATAGGATGGTAGCCTAGGCACTGGCTATTTCTAGCCAAGATTTTGCAGAAGTTTTCATTAGAAAAGATTGTCTTTATTTCAGGAACAGTCATATAACGAGGAGATGATCGACAGAGAAGGCTTTAGGGAAGGCAGAATGTTGCCCTGGCCGGTCTCCAGTTTCACCATCTGCCAAAAAGGGGCAATAATAACAAAGAGTTAAAATCATTTAAATCAGTGTACACACCGAGTGGGACCCAATGTGAAGTGAGCACTTACTAAATGGTGGCTTGTCAATGTGGGTAGTTTTTATTTTCATTGTTTGTTAACGGACAGTATGTTTTTATTGTAAGATTAAGCAGGGGCTGAGGCTGTAGCTCAGTGATAGAGCACTTGCCAGGCAGGTGCTCTACCTTGTTTGATCCTTAGTACCGCATAAAAGTAAATAAGTAAAATGAAGGTATTCTGTCCATCTCCAACTAAAATAAATCTTTAAAAAATAAGATTAAGCAGATAAATGAAGGTGTCTTAAAGTATGTTTCTTAAGAATTCTTTTTAAAATGAGGTTATCAGCCACCTTCTGTTGACTAATTTACTTTTAATTTTACTTTTAAGTTAATTAGTTCATAATAATAGTATCTGGTCTGGGGATATAGCTCACTTGGTAGAGTGCTTGCCTTGCATGCACAAGGCCCTGGGTTTGGTCCCTAGCACCAAAATAATAATAATAATAATAGTATCTGCTAAAACTCCGCTTCACCTGTGAGGAGTACAATATTTATGAAATGCATAAATACTGCATTTCTCACATCCTTATCAAGGTAGAAATCATTTCACTTTGGAAAGTGTTTTGTTTTATGTTGTAAATTTATCTGAAATCAGTTAGGTTGTCTGTCCTCCTGTGGATAACATAGTGTCCTGCATTTATTAGGAATGTTACAAGACAAACGAATGGAGATAGATAAACATAGCCTGAATATTGGTGATTACAATCGAACGGTCGGGAAAGGCCCTGGTTCTCGGCCTCAGATTTCCAAAGAGTCTTCCATGGAGCGCAATCCTTATTTTGATAAGGTAGGATTGTTTTTGATTTTATCTCTGTGACTAATAACCAATATACTTACTAGCCTAATATTTATGTTAATATTTTAGAACATTCAATGTGATATGAAATGTTATAATTTAGTGCCAAATCTGTTAGTAGATTTATAGTTCATTGTCCCAGTTATGCCTCAATTTAGCATAGGGTTGTGTTTATATTTCCTTCTTAATCCCATAAAATTGTTTGGCTCTTTTTATGTCCTCTAGAACCAACACTAATCTGATCTCTTCTGTTTTCTACCTGTTTCCTGTTGGTGCTGGGATGTCATGTGACTTCTCTTCTGTTCCTGCAATGATTTCTCCCTTCCACTTGTTTGCTTGGCTGGTGTGCACATCTTTCTGTCTGTCCAATCAGGATGGCATTGTAGCAGATGAATCCCAAAACATGCAGTTTATGTCCAGTCAAAGCATGAAGCTTCCCCCTTCAAATAGTGCACTACCTAACCAGGCCCTTGGCTCCATAGCAGGGCTGGGTATGCAAAACTTGAATTCTGTTAGACAGGTAAGTCCAGATGTGTATTTTAGGCTCTCTGTTGTATGATTTGTATTAGTGATAAGATCTCTCTTACATGTAGTTACTGTTTAAATCAGTAGTACAATATGGTCATGTGACGCCTATCCCTAAAGAGTCCCATTGTTGCTTTGCCCTTTGTGTTCATAGAATGGCAATCCCAGTATGTTTGGTGTTGGAAACACAGCAGCACAACCCCGGGGCCTGCAGCAGCCTCCAGCACAACCTCTTAGTTCATCTCAGCCTAATCTCCGTGCTCAAGTGCCTCCTCCATTACTCTCCCCTCAGGTAGGTAGACTTCTATTATAGTCTCCTCCACTTACACCTGGAGAAGAACCTTGAATAATTTGATAGTGAATGGGGTGACTAGTCAAGCATCATAATATTTATTGGCATCTTTGACATGCTGTAAATTCTGATTAGCTATTACTACAAGAATGAAGAAAATGAGTCAAAGATTTGTTCAAATCTAGAATACCATTTTTCTTTAGAACACCTTGGGAGCAGGATAGCAACAAAGTAAAGTTGACTGATTTAAAATTCATCTCTCATCTTTACTTACCCCAAGAAAAAGTATGTGTTAGAAATACCAGCGTGTCACAAGAAATCAGATACGTGCTCAAAAGCTACTGGGCAGGGCAAAGTTGACTTCTGCGGAAGATTGCGCTACCAAAAAGAAGCCAGCAGGCTGCCCCTGGGCAGGATGCCCGCCCAGGGTTTACCCCTAAGGCAGCACTGCCCTTGCTCTGCCTGGAGGAGTTCAGGGTTTCAGTCTCCACATGGTGACTAATTTAAAACTGGGGAGGGCAAGGGAAAGAGCTGTAGTTATGACTGGATCCCCTCCCACAATGTGAGCATTATGATTGGAAGGCAGAGGACAAAGGGAGAGGGGAGTGCTCAAAATGGCTGTTTCAACTGCATGGTTTTGTGACTTAAAATCAGCTCCACCCACCTACCCACTACGAAATTTAAGTTTTAGATCACAGCAAACACATTGCTTTTACATATTAGGAAACTCAAACTACAGGTTTAACTTTGACAGGAAAGAGAACATAAACTTTATACATAATGTGAATGATAAATTAGACAAATAAAGGGAGAAAGCTATCACCCCCCTCCGTGAATAATTCACTAATTTAATTGTTATAATCAAAACATAAGGTCCATTTAGCTAGTCTGAGTTATGTTATCAACATTATAAATCTACCGTTGTGATCCTAAGGTTCCAGTTTCATTGCTGAAGTATGCACCAAACAACGGTGGCCTGAATCCGCTCTTCGGCCCTCAGCAGGTAGCCATGCTGAACCAGCTATCCCAACTAAACCAGCTTTCTCAGATCTCCCAGTTACAGGTAAGCAGAATAATAGGCACACATTTATTGAGTATCTGCCGTGCTGCCTACCACTGGGCTCCTTGTGGGAGTCCTGCAGTAATAAGGTGGGCAGAGTTGTAAGCTTGCATGGAGATGAACACCAGAGAGGAGTGTTTTGCACAGATGCTTTGAGAGGAGACCTGGCCACGTCTAAGATGGTAGGGGGTAGGATCAGTCAGTTCCTTCTGAGTTGAAAGCTTAACTTGAGCAGCGCGGCTGGAAGCCAGAGTCCAAGGAAGAGGCTCTACTAGATGAGGGGAGTGGGGCCCTTCGGCATTGGCATGTCGAGAGTCGTGGGTCTATTGTAGAGTGGTGTGGCAGTGACAACCTTTTTGCCATTTTCCCCCAGCGATTGTTAGCGCAGCAGCAAAGGGCGCAGAGTCAGAGAAGCGTGCCTTCTGGTAACCGGCAGCAGCAAGACCAGCAGGTAGGTCCGATTCTTCCATGTGCTGTGCTGTCCTGTGTTTCAGTGAACTCCTGTCGCTTCCATTATGACAAGAGATCTGAAAATTCTTTTATTAAAATATAATGAAATATATTGTCAAGCCTGCAATTTGCCCATGAGTCGTATTAATTATTATACATGATGCTTCCCTTTCCTGCTGAGAAGGAAGTGAATTAAAAAATGAAAGGAATATGGATATATCTGCAAAGGCTTCCCCCCCACACAGTGTTTCCCAATTGTCTTGCTATTTTAAGGGTCGACCTCTTAGTGTACAGCAGCAAATGATGCAGCAATCTCGTCAACTTGATCCAAACGTGTTGGTGAAGCAGCCGACTCCACCGTCTCAGCAGCAGTCACTCCATCAGCCAGCCATGAAGTCTTTCCTTGACAATGTCATGCCTCACACTACACCGGAGCTGCAAAAAGGGCCATCACCAATAAATGCTTTCAGCAACTTTCCTATAGGTGGGTCTCTCCTGGGCCAGTGTGCGCTGGTGTCTGAGTGCCATAGCATGCGTCCTTCTCCTCCACCTTTATAGCCTCCCTTCACAGAAGCTGGCTGTGTCTCGTAGGTGCCTCTCCCAGGGCTGCCGGGCCCTCTTCAAGGTTCAGCCCATCTGGGCGCTTCAGGGAAGGTCTCTCTCCATTCAAGAAAATCACCTGTTTGAAAGTTTGAACTCATGTAGAGTTAGAATAAAGCAAACATTTCCTTTTAGGAGTCGAGCTTTCTTAATTGTGGGGTATGAGGAGGTGGAGAGCTGACAAGAATTGTTATTAGAAACGGCATACCGGAGAATTTTTGAGCACTTACTGCTTTGGGGAAACGACTGAGAGTAGTCACCTGGTTTGCTAGTTGTCAGACCAGGGATTTGTAAGTACTTGCTGGTGTAAATAAGAACTGGGAGTGGAGAAGGCCTTTGTCACAGGCGGCAGCTTCCCCCTCGTTTTTTTCTTGTCCCCGGGGTTGTGGGTTTTTTTGTTTTGTTTTTTATTCCTTTGATTGAATTTCAGCTTGTGATTGTTCGTACCATGTTTGTTTTGCTTTTCCTCTCTCTTTACCTGAACAACAGTTTCTTTTTTTTTTTTTTTTTTTAAGAGAGAGAGAGAAGAGAAAAAGAGGATTTTTTAATATTTATTTTTCAGTTTTCGGTGGACACAACATCTTTATTTTATTTTTATGTGGTGCTGAGGATCGAACCCAGCGCCTCGCGCATGCCAGGCGAGCGCATTACTGCTTGAGCCACATCCCCAGCCCACAACAGTTTCTTTTAAACCATCTTTGTTGGTTGCTTGCCAACTCTGTTGAAAACCTAATTGTTAGTTCATCAGTGTGGTCTGGGCCATGGACAAAGGTTAGGGCACGCTGTTGCCCCGCCTCTGCTTCACTTTGGCTGGACTGATATTGCTGTGGGCTCTCAGGGAACAAATTGCACCGAGTCCTTAAGATCATTAGCAGTTTGCATTTCTAGGAACCGTTCCTCTGACCATTACCTCTGTGGTTGGATACTTTTGATGGTGACTAGGTGGACTTACATCTCTGGCACCTTTTGGGCTATAATAGCAGAGTTACATTGAAGTGCAGGTACCATGTGGCCTGTAAAAACCCACGAACTATATGAACCTTTATTCTCAAAAAATTGCCAATTCTTGATCTAATCACTGGGTATAAGAGCATAAATTTGGTCATTGCAAAAATGGGGATGATTTTAAAGAATTCAGATTATTAAAGAACCAATACCACAAGAACACTCATCAAACCAAAGAATTAAAAGACATTTAATATGAAACTTTAGAATAAGAGCCACTTGGAGTAGTGTGTTAAATAAGGATTTTGACTCTCGCTGGAAAGTCTTCAGTTTTTAACAAGCATTTTAGAAGTTTCTGATGTTAATGGTCCCTGGGTCACATCTTTTAAAACACTGCTTACTGGTCAGTGCCTAAGATGAACTTCTGGCCTTATTCCAAGAAAATATCTGAGTTGGCCTGGCCTCATCAGCAAGTTGCAAGTAAATTGTGTCTCAGCCTGAGAGTCTCCCCCTAGATGTTAGAGTAGGACATTTTACTTTTAAATGACAGTATCCTTTGACTGGTTAGCCAGCTGAAAATCGTTTAGTTTGCGAGTTAGAAGATAGCAACTGAAAGTGATGACATGTTCTTCATGCAGGATCCTCCTGGGGAATCACTGAATAGCTACCTCCTATCAGTGGTAAACTTAGAAATTTTATAATTCAGTTCCCTGAAACTTTTCTCTCTCTTATTTTGCCGAGATTTAAACATGATCGAAATTATATGGAAAATAGTTATTCCATAGATGACATGGTATGAGCATTTTCATGGGTTGAAAACATTGAACTGTGCTGTTGGAAGGGCTACTCCACAGTTACTTGTGTGTGCTTTCTGTTGACCTAGCTGATCTCTTGCTCCCAGCCTTGTGTATGCTTGACCTTGGCCAAGAGTCCTGAGCGTCTCTTCTGCCTATGGGGCCTTTATTATTTGACTCCCACATTTATATAATGCTATTTATTAAGGAGCATTAAACGGGATTGAAATATTAGATTAGTTATGTGTGTTTTTCTAGAAAAATAGTGTCTTGCCAGAAGGAAAATATGCTATATTTTATAAGATTTTTTTTTTAATTTTTAAGGCTTGAACTCGAACTTGAATGTAAATATGGATATGAACAGTATTAAAGAGCCACAGTCAAGACTAAGGAAGTGGACTACAGTGGACAGCATTTCTGTGAACACATCTTTGGATCAAAATTCCAGCAAACATGGTATATATTATGTTCTTATACTTTTATTAAAAAAAAATATATACACACACACACATATATATATTTGTAAACCAGCTAAATTTAGACCTTTATTTTATTTTTCTGTATATTTCAAAGCCAAATTATCTTAGATTTTTTTAAAACTTAAAACCAAAAAAGACTGTGCTTTATTAAGTCTTAGTAAAAAATAAGAGCCTTTAAAATGAAAAGTAAAATTCACCTCTACTATGCTGTTTTGTAAGGGAGAGAGATTATGAGTGCTTTTTAAAAAAAAAAAAAACTACTTCCCTTCTGATGATCATTTAGGTTTTTTTTCTAAGTGATTTATTGTTCTGCATTTTTTCTTTTTTCTTTTTTTAAACATCTACTGGGTTTACCCTGATATGTTCACAGTAGGGTATAAGAACTAGTTTATTTTCTTTTGACACATTTTCTTTATATATGTTGCTATGGGAATAAAGTAATAGACTTAGTATGATTGTCTTTTCAGTAGTTAATTTTTCATATGGGGGATTGAACCCAGGGGCATTTAACCACTGAGCCCCATCCCCAGCCCTTTTTATTTTTCATTTTGAGAGAGGTGTCCCCAAGTTGCTTAGGGTCTTGCCAAGTTCCTGAGGCAGGCTTTGCAGTTCTCCTGCCTCAGCCTTCCAAGGCACCGGGATCACAGGTGTGCGCCACGGAGCCCAGCTGTCTTCCCTTTTCTTTTAGGATACAGTAATTTTTGTTTGCCTCACTGCTTAGTAGACATTGATGCGTGATGCGGCATGAATCTGGGAAATTCCCTCCGTCGACGAGCAGTTTCAACCTGCGCAACCAGTGAGCAGGAAAATGGCAGCCTTCTTCCACGAGTGTTGATTTTACTTACATTTGAACAAAACTATTATTTTTTTTACTAGAGTGAGGTACCCTAATAGAACTTGGATATTTTATTAGTTTATTGGTTTTTTTCATGTTTTTGTTTCTTTTGCATAAATACCAAAGAGTGGAATACCACATCCATAGAGTAGATGAATGTTTAACTCTTTTTTTAATTGACAACAGAAGTTGTATATTTTTAGTGTTCAACATTTTAACATGTGTATATTGTGGAATGGCCTTCACTCTTTTGTTAAAAAAAATACTAGCATCTCACTGTATATCCAAGAGAGATCCTTAAACTACCAGCCCCGATGTTATCTCTTATCATATTGAAACTAATTTTTTAAACCAACATCTATTAAAACATACAGAAAATGCCATGTTGAAATTGAGCTTTCTGTCCTCTCTCTGAAATGTGAAGGTCTAGTGATACCAAGCCACGTCCTCAGAGGCTGAGATGTTCCAGGCCCCTCCCTGGGCTGCTTCCTCAGTGCCACGCCTGTCTCTTGCTTTCTCTGCCACAGTCCTTTGCCATTTTGCTTTGCTCTGCTTGGGAATGTTCTTTTTTCTTTTTATGCCCCTTAACCTTCTTTCTTCCTCTAATTGTTGGAGAAATATCTCTGTTAATTCATATTTCTGAAGGACCATAGAATTTTTTCGGCAGCTATCCTGATTAATCTCATTGGCAATTCTGTGTGCCCCTGGGGTAGAAGTGGGAACACAGAATAGGCTGCTTTTCCACCCAGTAGAGTAGTATGAGTAGTTGTAAGAAGGGGGGACCTGGTAGCCTTGGGGAGGCTCACGTCAGAGAACAGCTGATTACAGGCAGCAGTCCTTAACATGCACATGTGCAACGCCATCTTCAGTGGGTTCACTTCTTACCCCCACTTTATTGAAGCTCAGGCAGCTAATACATTCACTGTTGATCAGAGAAGAAAGGGTAAGTCCAAGAGACCTCCTCTGTCGGACGTTCTTGGGACCCACATTAGGTTCAGTGATTTGTTAGAAATCACATAATTCAGAAAAGCTTTTGTCCTCACAGTTACAGTTGATTACACAAAAGAGCACAGGTTAAAACCAGCAGAGGAAAAGGGCACCTAGACTAGAATCCAGGAGAAAGCAAGAGCAGGCTTCCTGTCGTCCTCCCCCAAGGAGATGCAAGAGAGCACTTCATTCTCCCGGCAAGGACGTGTGACACATGCCCAAAACACTGCTAATAAGAGATACCACCCCGCCAGCCGTGGTGTCCAGAGTTTCCACCAGGTGTCGTTCATATAGGCCTGCAGGGTCTTGGCTCCTATCTCTAGACCCTCAGAGGCCAGGCAAATACTGCCTGGCCCTGAGCCCCAGGCCTAACACAAGTGTTCACCAGAAGTCATGTTGTCTTGCTGTGTCTGGGAGGACCCAGACCTCAGGTGTACAGAGCTGCTCTTCATTCTGCGGGCTTAGAAGATCCCAGAAGCCAAATAAGGGTGCGTCCAAAAGCACATAGAAATGTGCAGTCTGGGCCTGGTGCTGACCCTTCATGTACATGACAGTGAGAAAGAGCAGATTTATTAAGGGAAGTAGAGGAAAATTGAAGCAAGGACAATTGAGAAGGAAATTCCACATCAAGGAAGGGTTGGACCAGGATGTCTGGGACACTGGATGGGTCTAAGAGATGGACTTCTGGTAGTTTATAAAATCCCCTTTCCTGGGCTGGGGGTAAAGTTCAGTTGGCAGGGCTGGGGCTGTAGCTCAGTGGCAGAGCACTTGCTGCGCATGCGTGAGGCACTGGGTTTGATCCTCAGCACCACATAAAAATAAACAAATAAAATAAAGGCATTCTGTCAAAAAAAATTTTTTAAAAACCAGAGTGCTTGCCTCGCATGCACAAGGCCCTGAGTTCAATCCCCGGCACCAAAAAAGCAAACAAACAAAAAACCTTTTCCCTTCATTTTAATCTTGGATTTGGGGAGAAGTTAAGGAAAGATTTCCAAGAGGTCCATGATTTCTTAAGTCAACATGGGAAAGATAAACAGGAGTTGGCCAGGCCCCAGGCAGGGAGGGGATGAAAGGAACGGAAACCGTGGCAGGTAGGAGAGGCTAGAACTTTTTAAGTACTTTAATTATAATCTATTGAACAGTTTGAGTGTTATCTCCTGTATGATGGGAAACTTGAGTTTTAAGCTAGGAGGTGACATGCTCAGAAGATTCGCCTGGCTGCCGTGTGGAGACCAGTTGGGAAGTTTCTCTGGCCTAATCCAGTGCTGAGTCCCATGAAGAGAAGCCTGACCTAGCACAGGCATGGCTCGGGAGCTGCCTGAGCACAGAACTGATAGGACCTGGTCACGTCCAAAGATAACAGGAGCAGCAGAGCCAGTGGAGGCACTTGTGTCCCAGCTTACGCAGCCTCAGGTCTACGTTCCTATGCTTAGTAGCAAAAGCACGATTTTTTTGTGGCATTTCTTCTCTTCTATTGGGTTTTATCTTCAAACTTTGACTGAATTTGGCTTACAGGTAAGTTTCCTAAACTGTAGATTTTTTAAAATTTTTAAAATATTTTTATTTATTTACTATGTGGTACTGAGGATCGAACCCAGGGCACGCGCTAGGCAAGCACTCTGCTACTAAGCCACAACCCCAGCCCCTAGATTGTAGATTTTTTATTTCTCAGGTTGATGATTATCAGAAGTTATTATATAATAGGAGAAATATTCTATTACAAACAGACCTAGATTCTAGGTTGATTTGCCACTATGGAATATCACACTGGAATTTTTCTTAAGGATGAGAATGGAGAGTTCAAACTATGGAGAAGTGAATGGCAAAATAAACATAGACCCTGGTTTTAGACCTAGATCTGCTACTAATTAATTCTGCTATTAATTAGCTGCTGGCAAGTAACTTCACCTTTCTGAACTTCAGGATTCTCATATGCAAAACATGAACCATAGCGGCTCCTGTTGGGGTGTGTTGAGGGTGAGTCTCAAGCCTTGAGCACTCCAGCAGGGTTGGGCCCATGAGTGAGTGTTAGGTCTTAGCGTCATTATTACTGCCTTCGCTGTTACCTCATGAGGTTCCCTGCTCAAAGACAGAAAGTTCTCCAGTAAATTCATTTCCAATGCTGAAACTAAGTCTACCACGTAATTTTTCTGATGTTTTTCCTTTACATTAATTAATAGAATACTTAACTTTCTATGTCCAGCATTCAGCCCAGCTGCTGGCACTGTTCCGGTGAGAAATGATGTGTCTTACCACTTGCAGTAAAATTTTAGTCATTGTAAGTCGAGCTCATGTTAAGATGGGTACGAAGAATAAATCGTAAAAAACAGTCATTTCTTGGTGAGGCTGAGCTCTGCTGCCATGGGACTTCACGCTCATCGTAGCAGCGTATCTTAGAAGCCGTGAGTCACAGCAGGGCGCGCAGGGTGGCATTGGAACTCCTCCTAATGGCAAAGGCTGTGGCTTTGTTTTCCCTGCTTGTATGTTATCTTGTAGGCATTCCTGACCTCCGTCCTTCATCTTTGTCAGGATTCTTTTACTCCACTCTCTGTACTCCTCACCTCCAAAAACACAAGTCTCTCTGACAAAGGGTTCACTGTACTAGTTCTTATCTAGGCAACAATGCCAGTGTTGAATGATTCTGTGCTCCGTTCTGTCACTTACCGACGGTTGTGGTCCTCAGGCCCTTGAGATGAAACCCGCTATGGCCATTTTCAGGCGTTCTTCAAGTGAGATGTTGCCATCTCAGTAAGTAGGAGTTAGAAGGGTCCGGCCTCTGTCAGCAGCGCAGAGCCGGCCTTACCTTCGCCTCCCCACAGAGTCTCCAAGACGCAGTTCGGGACCCACGTAGAACTCCAGTCGGAATTTTTCTTACCATATTTGAGAAACTCTAAGAGGTAAATTTTGTAGTATGTTTTGCTCACGTTCACTATTGTTTTTCATTTCTTAGGTGCTATTTCAAGTGGTTTCAGGCTGGAGGAATCCCCATTTGTTCCCTATGACTTTATGAACAGCAGTTCTTCACCAGCCAGTCCTCCAGGTTCAGTAGGAGATGGCTGGCCACGTGCCAAATCGCCCAACGGCTCTAGCAGTGTTAACTGGCCACCAGGTAAAGTGCGGACGGCCCGTTCTGTGAGACAGTGCTCCTGTTGGGGTTTCGTTGCATGTAGGCTTCCTAGTGGTCTAGCCCGGTGCATGTTGGGGCCATCTCTGCCATCTGACGAGGAGCGCGGAGATGATGGAAGAAAAGGGGGACGTAGAGTCAGCGAATCAGTCTGTGTGGTCCCAACCCTCTGCTTCCACTAGTGACTGTGGCATGAGCCTCTGACCAGCATGAAGAGTCCCAGAGGAAGCCTGCAGTCATTGTTCCTCACTGTGTCGGGGACTCTTGCCAGGGTGTTCGGTTATAGTAAGAAATTACCAAAAATGAATCCCTTCCCTGCTTGGTCCTGCTTGAGTTGTGGCTTTGCATTTTATCATGAAGCACTTTATTTTACAGCTTAAAAATATATAAACTAGAGAAGTTATGTCAGTCACAAAAAATTTACAAGTTAATCATAGAGAATAACTCATATTACAATAATTATATTATCACACTCATCTTTTAAGGTGTTGGATAAATTGGAAAATATTTGACAATTGTATAGGATTTAGAAGTAAGATTTGGATATTTAGTAATGTATTATAAAGTGATGATTAAGCCTTGAATTAATTTTACATTTCTGCTTTTAGAATTTCGCCCTGGTGAGCCATGGAAAGGTTATCCAAACATTGACCCCGAAACTGACCCTTACGTCACTCCTGGCAGTGTCATAAACAATCTTTCAATTAATACTGTGCGGGAAGTTGACCACCTCAGGGACAGGAACAGTGGTACGTACAGGGCACAAGTCTTGTCTTGTGATGCTCAGAGGCAGGTTTTGAGAAGGCTTTGAGTGGGTGTGAACCTTTGGGCAGCAAAAGCCCCTCTGAGCTCCCAGCCCCGACACCCACGGGGATCGTGAACATGGAACGGGGTTCTCGGGTTTCCCGAGTGACCGCGGCCACTTTTGAGATGATGAGGATTTGTCAGCACTTGCTCTGCAGCAGCAGTGCCAGCAGCTGGAGGTGCATCCTCGTGGGATGTGTGTACTCCACATACTGAAGGGCCGCCCTGGGGAGCAGGCTTGGCGTGAACACAAGTCACTCAGGATCACTGTAACCCAGGCGCAAAATCACCCGGTTACCTAGCACACCTCGGGGCTTCTGCAGGTGACCCACTCATGAGGAAAGGTGAATGGAATTCATTGTTTTGGTTTTGGTTTTTGTACTGGGAATTGAATCCAGGCCTCTTCACCACCCAGCTACACCCCTAGTACCTGCCCCCGCCCCCACCCCCAGGGATTAAACCCAGGGCCTCGCACATGCTCGGCAAGCTTTACTACCAAGCTGCCTCCCCAGACCAAAAAATATTTTGTTTCTATAAAATACAGTCTCCCAGGCAGACATGGTAGCACACACCTGTGATCCCAGCTACTCAGGAGGCTGAGGCAGGAGGATGGAAAGTTCGAGACTATCCTGGACAATTTAGTGAGACCCTGTCTTAAAGAATACAATTGAAAAGGGCTCGAGAGGTAGCTCAGTGGTAGAGTGTTTGACCGGCATGTGCAAGAAAAAAGTATGTGTGTATGCACACATACATAACACATGCATGCACGTGCACACACACACACACACACACACACTGTTCCTTCAGTATACAAAGAAAAATAAGTTCAATATATAATTTGTTAAGAATAACAAGTGTTTGTGCGTCACAGTGGTCAGAAAAGAATCCTCATCATTCCAGAATGGCTGCATTTAAAAGACCTTCACAGAGGTAAAGTTGGTACTTTCACAAAAAATATCAGGAGGCATGAAACCAAGCAGAAGCCCTCGCTGCGTGTAGCTCACAGAAACGGGCTTCTGTTTGTGTGTGTTTGCAGAGGGTTCCGGAGGTGGGGTGGAGGAGGTCTCCAGCAATGGTTTGGAGGGGGTGATCTGAGTGGTGAACAGCGTGGGTTGGACGTGGGGGCCAGTTAGGGGCTGTCCTGGTGACCATGTGCTTATGAGGTCGAAGCTGAACTTGAGGAAAGGGCTTTTTTTTTTTCCTCAAGTGGGAAGAAAGACTGGGTTTTGGAGCCTGCACCTGGGGCCTGCTGGAGAGGGTCACACCCACTGGCTCAGGGAGCGCCAGTGGCCGGTGCTTGGGTGGGCTGGCCGGCCCAGGGGGTCACGCAGCTCAGGGCGGGAGCTGAGGAGCGAGGATGGCCTTCCATTCAGAGCCTGCTGGGAAGCAGAGCAGCTGTTGCCTGGCCGCTGCTCACTGCCAAGAGCATGTCCCCCGTCAGGTGGGGATGGGCAGGGGGAAACGCCTGTTCTGAGCCAAGGTGAAAACAGCCAGCAAGCTCCGGGCATGCTCTCCTGAAGGCGGGCAGGAGGCGCAGTCTGGGGTCTGGCCTGCTCACCAAGCCCCCTGCTCCGTTCCTGGGGCAGGCTGGGGCACCTGGACTTCTCTGGGTGCCTTTACTCATGTTCAAACACTGTCCCTTGCTCTGGCCGCTAATGGAACTCTCCCTCTCTAGGGTCATCCTCATCCTTGAACACCACGCTGCCTTCAACTAGTGCCTGGTCATCCATTCGTGCCTCCAACTACAACGTTCCCCTCAGCAGTACAGCACAAAGCACTTCAGGTGGGCGCACAGCCCGGCGCCCCTCTTGGGAGGAGGGTGTGCTGTGGTCACAGTCTGAGGCCGTTGTGTTAATGCCTTCTCTTGTAACCGGTCTCTTATTTTCGGGAGGCAGGAGACTGTATTTATGATCCTGGGACAGTGTCTTTAGCAGCGTTTGTCCCTGCTTAACCGTACCGTGCACTGCAGTCACCTCCTGAGACACTGGGCCTTCCCCAAGCAGCACCTGGCTCTCAGCACTCCACAGCAGCTCTTGGGCTGTCTGCAGTGAAGGACCTTTTAATTTCCGGTACTTCACAGACTGGTACTCGTGTAGGAGAGGGTGAACATGGATTTCAGCTTGTCCCAGGGCTGTTGATGTACTTGAGAGTCGGGTAGAGTTGAACTGCTGTCACCGTTCACAGATGCTCAGTCTGCTTCTGCTACAGCCCAGGAAGGAACTGGGCCACTATGGCCACTCTTCCTGCCATACTTTTAGAAGCACAAAAACTACCGAGCTACATCCCCAACCCTTTCTATTTTTTGTTTTGAGACAGGGTCTCGTTAAGTTGCTGAGGCTGGCTTTGAACTTGCAGTCCTGCCTCAGCTTACCGTGTGCCTGGTCCCCACATACCCACTTGGCACTGAGCATGCATCAGGAACTTTTCTTTTTTTCCCCTAAGTAAAAACAGAGTCTTAGATTTGGATCTTGGCTCCCCGTTGGACCCAAAGGCAAACACTCGCCCTCTCAGATCCTCAGAAGGTGTGCCAGGGTCAGAGGTAGCATCTGAAAGCACCTAGCGGCCTGGGCCTGGCATCGAGGCGGGCAGCTGGTGATATCTGCTGGATGACTCCTTGAGTTGGGGCCACTTATGCAGTTTTTTCCCCACAAATTATTGACAAAGTGTGTTTAATGGGCTGCGTGGCTGTCTTGAGGGGCTTGCCTGTGGTTATTATTAAGGTAAGGAGTTCACAGTTGCCACTTTAGAGCAGTTCAGAGCGTTTCATGTGTTAATTTCATTTAGCACAGTTTTACACAGTGGAATCTCCTAGGTCCTATACTGTTAACAACAGATGACAGTGTGAGTGTCTGAGAGGAGGGACGGTTTCCTTTGGGCTTTTTGTTTTTCTTTAGCAGCTTAGTTTCATTTGGACTTTGCATTTTGTTTTGTTTTGTTCTTCTCTGGCACTGGGAATTGAACCCTGGGAGATGCTCTACCACTGAGCTGTATATTCCCAGTTCTTTTTTGTTTTACTTTGAGACAGGGTCTCACCAAGTTGCTGAGGTTGTCCTTAAACCTGGGATCCTTCTGCCTCAGCTGCCCGAGTCGCTGGGCTCACGGCACGGTACCACCATACCTGGCTGATTTGGGGTTTTAGATGTCTGTGTGCGTTTGTTTGATTTGCCTTTTGTGGGACAATAGATGTTATTTAAATATTCTTATTTCTCCAACATTATTCCACCCTCTCTGCTCTCCCCCACCCCCTTTGAAAGCAGCCAGAAATAGTGATTCCAAATTGACATGGTCTCCTGGTTCAGTCACAAACACCTCTCTGGCTCATGAGCTGTGGAAGGTCCCTTTGCCACCTAAGAACATCACTGCTCCGTCCCGCCCGCCTCCGGGACTGACTGGTCAGAAGCCGCCCTTGTCTACGTGGGATAATTCTCCCCTTCGTGTAGGTGGAGGATGGGGAAATTCTGACGCCAGATATACCCCAGGTAGGAGGAAGTGCGTGAGGTGGGGTCGGGGGTTTCTTTGCTGAACACTCACCAGTTCAGCCGCCCAGCTTTACCGGGACCTAAACCTCTCTGACGCCCGTCTCTGGGGGCCTTGATCCAGTGTCCTTAACGTTCTGCCTGAGACCCCGAGCAGTCAGTCTCATCTCTGAGCTGAACATGACTAATAACACTTCATAATGTTTCCTGATCTGATCTGATTTGTAATTTCTGATCCTTAGGTGAACGGCTGCAATAAAACTTTCGGTTTTTGGGGGGAAAGTGTTGATTATGTTTAAAAAAAAAACACACACTTGAGGTCATTCTGCGTTACCAAATGCAAATTAACACAATGAGGGGAAATGAAAAAATGACCCCAGAGCCCACCCTGCAGGGTTCGTGGACTTGAGTAGAGTCAGGAAGCTTTGAAGGGAAGCCGAGAGAGCAGGGGACAGCCTCCGTGGAGGCCGAGAGGCCTGAGAGCTGCGCTCCCTGTTGGGTTGTAGAGACTCGGCAGGGCCCTCTGCGGGGTCAGGGCAGGGCTGTGTCCCGAGGCTCGAGCTCATCCCGGGACATCTTCCTGAGCCAGAGGAGGTGGGTGGGGGTCTCGACCCTCGTGGGGAGCTCCTCTGTGGGGAGCCTGGTTGCCAAGGGCCCGGCGGGAAGGCCAGCTGGGACTCCTGCAATGACCCACCCCCTTCACGCCCTGGGTGGGTCCCACTTGCAAAGCCACCAGACCAGACCTCCCAGAGGTCAGAGCCGCCAGCACCGGGAGCAGCGCCTGGACTGGGCGGAAGAGCTCCTGTTTGGCCGAGGAGGAAGCAGTCGGCAGAGGCGGCGGCTGGGTGTTCGGGTCATCTGTTGAGTGACTCCTTTGGGCTGTTTGAGGCCATGGTCTTGGAAAACTGACTTGTCCCTTTTTCCGCCCCTGCCCCCCACTAGGTTCCAGCTGGGGTGAGAGCAGCTCAGGGAGAATAACAAATTGGCTTGTTCTGAAAAACCTTACACCTCAGGTAAGGCTTGGTGGAGGGCCGGCAGGGCGCGAGCAGGGCCTGCGAGGCAGTGAGGGCCTAGCGGAGGAGAGCCAGGCAGTCTCCAGCTCCTCTGGTGGCAGGCCGTCGCGGTCCCCTGGTTTCACAGGTCTTGGGTTCAGGGAAGCCAACCAAAGACAGGGATTCCTCGGCGTCCCCTGGACTGGTTCAGTGGGGCTCACGTGAGTGTGTCCACGTGAATCAGTGCAGGCGATCCTTGTCCTGCTCGTGGAGAAACGCTGTTCTGCCCTTTTAGTTTCCTTGGCCCCTGGTCCACCCTGCCCAGAAGCAGCGCCCTGATGAGCCCTTCCTTGAGGTGGTTGAGAGGAGAGGAGCCTCAGCAGGGACCATGACCACCTGAGGAGCTGGGGGCGCCTCCAGGAGCTAGAGGTCACAGAGTGCAGGTCTGGGACGTCTTCCCCGCTGGCCCCACAACCCTCTCATTGCCCTTCCCACTGCTTCCAGATCGATGGCTCAACTCTGCGTACCCTGTGCATGCAGCATGGCCCGCTGATCACATTCCACCTGAACCTCCCACACGGAAACGCTTTGGTCCGCTACAGTTCAAAAGAAGAGGTAGTGAAGGCACAAAAGTCTCTGCACATGTAAGTGCCCCAGGCTCCTGCTGGGGAGGGCTGGGAGTTGGCGGAAGCACAACCTGGTCCTGGGTGCCGCTCCTGAGGGGCTTCTCCCCAGAATTGCCTCCCGGTTCTCTGGGATCCAAGGTCGGGATTCCTGAGGAGGAGAATCCGACATGGTCAAAATGGCCCTGGAGCCAGGCACCTGCAGTGCAGCTACTCAGGAGGCCAAGGCAGGAGGCTCAGTGGAGGCCAGGAGTTTGAGAACAGCCCCAGACAACATAGTGAGACACCCTGTCTCCAAAAAAAAACAACTGGAAAGTCCCTTGTGCTGCCCACGAGAGACAGACAGGCCAGGTGTCGCCCCACAGCCTGTGCCCGGCCGTCCTCCAGGGCCCGTGCTCCTTGAAGGCAGGGCACACCAGCGTGTGGTGTGTGCCCCACCCCCACCCCCGTGTCTGTGACAAGGAAGTTCCCCCACGGGAGGCCCTCACGCTCTCTGCCTTCTGCTCTAGGTGCGTCCTGGGGAACACGACTATTCTTGCTGAGTTTGCCAGTGAAGAGGAGATCAGTCGTTTCTTTGCACAAAGTCAGTCTCTGACCCCTTCTCCTGGCTGGCAGTCCCTCGGGTCCAGCCAGAGCCGGCTGGGCTCCCTCGACTGTTCCCACTCCTTCTCCAGCCGGACCGATCTCAATCACTGGAATGGTGCTGGGCTGTCGGGAACTAACTGTGGAGACCTTCACGGCACTTCCCTCTGGGGGACCCCACATTATTCCACAAGCCTGTGGGGTCCCCCAAGCAGCAGCGACCCCCGGGGAATTAGCAGCCCATCCCCCATTAACGCTTTCCTTTCTGTTGACCACCTGGGTGGGGGTGGGGAGTCCATGTAAGGGTGTAGTTGTAGACTCACAAACTGTGACCTCAAGATGCGAGAGATGGAGCACTAAGTTGGGCTCGCCGCCTGCAGCCAGGGGCCACCTGTGGGAACAGCTGTTCTCTGCACATTTTCCACTTTGTTTTCCCCAAAACATATCAGTTTGAATACTTGAATCATGCAGGCCAATATTATAATGTGAAAAGGTATCTATCTATTTACACTCCCAAGTAGCGCCATACATGCTAGACCATATAGAATGAGCTCACTTGTGTATATTCATCATGTTTAGCCTTGGATTCATTCTTCCTTTCTTCTTTCTGTTTTTTCTCCTCCCTCCCCACCCCCCCCCCTTTCCTTTTTTTGCAAAACCATGTTTTGGGCTGATAATGTATGAGCTTTTACCTTTGCACTGAATGATGTTCTCTCCGTCTAATCGGCAATATGGGGGGGCAGCTGTTCCAGTGTAAATGTTTACTCAAGGATGTTCTTAAAGGTGTGCGCTCTCTACTATGCCTTGATGTTGCCTACCTTGTTGTGGTATCGTGGAGTTTAAAAGATCAAGTTATGATACTGACTTAGGATTATTAATGAAAGTATTGCACCAGTTTTTTCATGTTGTAAAACTAAAGAATTTCGCTCTGCAGTTTGAAAAACTGTGGCCACAGCTGTGACTTGCAGCCCACCTGCCACCCAGGACGGGCCCTGCACTTTGAATAGGCTTTCCATTTTGTTTTGAAGGTTCTCACGCTGAGCCTTCTTGTTTACAGATTTTTTTGTTTGTTTTTTGAGAAAAAAAAAATGTTTACTCTTCCATCATTTAAAAAAAAAATTAAAAAACAAAAAAAAAAATGGAGGATGATTTAAAAGATGCTTTCTATCTCTGGGAAAAAAGGAGCAGCATTTGGCCATGTTCTTTCGTTTTTCTATTCCTGTCCTAAATCAAAGAGCATGGTTCTCAGGAAAACCAGTTCCCCAGTTTAAAAAAAAAAAAAAAAAAATCCTTGTATTTTTTTATAGAAAAAAAAGAAACCCCCCCCCAACTTTTAGCACTGATACTACGTATTGCTCTGTTAAAGAATTTTCTCTGCCAAAAAAAGAAAAAAAAGAAAAAAATGCTTAAAGCTGGAGTTGGACATTCTGCTTTCAGATGCTGTCTTTTTCTTAGTGATGATGGTTTGCTAATAATCAATAGGTAATGATTTTTGTAATCCCATCAAGTGGCTCTCTGTTTCTGCTCTCTTGTGACTGTGTTAATGTTTAACTGTTGTACCTTAAAGCCGAAATCAGTAACTATGCATACTGTAACCAAGGTATTGGGCCTACAGAGTTGTTTGTTGTATAAAGAAAATTTTAAATGTTGTTGCAAACTAACGAGTTACATCATTTTTAAATTTCTTCCCCCCCCCCCTTTTTTCGCCCACAAATGGTATTATAATGCTTGCTTAGTCAAAGAAGAGAGACTAAACAAGGGTAAAAATTTTAACAGTACAGAATTTGCCATCATTTCATTGCCTTGATTCTAACTGTTTGTGTCCTAAGATGCAAAAGAAGTCAGTGGCTTTTAACTGTTTACAAATAGAATGTGATTGTAAATGTACAGTTCGGTTGTGTTGAATTATGAACTTTCTTCAGATATAATAAACCATGACTTTTTGGCTGCTCAACATTAATTGTCTTTTTTGTGGATTTATTTGTAGGCTCTTTTTTATAATGAAATTTGCAGAGTTGCTGTGTGTGAGGGTTCTCACAGAGCAACTGATTAAAAATCTAAGCAAATATTTGAACATTTTATCTGAACTTATCCACAATTTCACCCTGAAATAATGTGAGAACAATGGGAAACTGTAGCTCGCTCCTTCCTACCCTCTTTGAGCATCTTTGGGATCTTGTTGCTCAAAACCTCCTCTGTGACTTCATCTCCCCACCATTTGTGCCCATCTCAAGCCTCAGCAAGAGACCGTTTGGAACATGAAGCTTAATGACTTGACGTGTACTAGTGTTAAACTTCCATACCTCTGTCACACAGTGAGGAACGCCGCAGCCTGGACTGGCCTTCTCTCCCCCTCCCGGCCCGCGCTCCGCCGCAGGAGCCCAGGGCAAAACCTGTGTCTGTATCTCAGTGTGTGGTTCAAATCAGCTCCGCTTGCCAGGGGTGAGCTAATGTTGGACACGTAACCTAAGCAAATGTCGTTCAGTGCTTTCCGTGTGTGTTGACTTCCATACTGGTTTTTCCAAAAACCAAAGGTAGCTTTGAAAAACCACGTCTGGAGATGTTTGGAACTAACGTTAAGCTGATGACCTTTGGGGCTTTGAGTAGTATATAATTGACTTCATAACTGCGTTCATTGTATTGTTAAAGTGTTTGGGAGATTTTTGCGCTTGTTATGTGGAAATAAAGTGTTTGATTTTAAAAAAAAACAAAAACCCTTTCAAGTGGTCCTGATTCTTTCTTCGTCCTTAAATAACAGCGGCTCTTTTCCCCAAGCCACCGATACCTCGGGGTCTTCCTGACTTCGTCCCACTGCCTGCACCTGGATCTGGGCCATCAGCTCCTCCAGACCCGCCTCTGGACCTCAAGGCCCTCGCAGCCTGCAAGAGTCTAAACCTTGTCCACGCAGCTCTGCTGCCCTGAGCTCTGGACATCCCAGGTTGCTCTGCTTGGCCCCGCTGGCCCCGCCCTGGTCCCCCAGGGGACCCACCCAGACCCACCCCACCCGAGACAAGAGGGCTCTCCTGTGCACGGGCCCCTCTCCCAGGGCTTGCCACAGATCACCCCTGATCACAGGCCCCAGGTCCTAGCCTGGGCCCCTAGGTGAGGCGCAAGCTTTCCCTGGCCCTCCCTCACCCAGCTGTCCCTGCTGCAGCTCTGCAAGTGGATGAGCCGAGAAAGATGTGGAGGTCACCGTCAGGTGCAGTGGCAGAAAGGTGGGGGTTGCAATGAAGGGGGGAGGTGACCAACGAAGGCTGTGGTGAGCGAGTGAGCATAACCTTCAGCTGCCGACACTGCACACCTTGGGGCCGGGCTTCAGGGCTGCTCCTGCTGATCCTTAGACTTTGGACGTGAGAGGTGGCATTTCTGAACAGGAGCCAGAATTGGAACCCAAGTGAACCTTGAGAACCCCCTGCAGAGACCAGGTCTTGGGTCCTGCAGGAGGAGCTCTGGAAGGGAGCTCTGGAAAGGCCTTGGCGACCTCCGGCGGGAGGAGAGCAGTCGCGGTGTGTGAGGGAGGGGTTCTCTGCAGGACAGGTGCTTTGGCTGTCTGCTCACGTCGCTTTGAGAGCACACCAGCCTGGCCACGTTTCCCAAACGGTTCACCAACATCACCCCAAAGTTTGAGTAGAGAAAGGAGGAAGTGGATCCCCTCAGGATCTAGAAGTAGAGTTTTCAACTCTAATATTAGGTTGACTTTACCTAAAAATACCGGATTTTTTTTTTTTTTCTTTTGGATCAGGGATTGAACCCAGGGCACTTAACCACTGAGCAACATCCCTGGCTCTTTTTATTTTTTATTTCAAGACAGGATCTCAACTAAGTTGCTTAGAGTCTCGCTAAGTTGCTGAGGCTGGCCTCAAACTTGTGATCCTCCTGCCTCAGTCTCCTGAGTCTGGGATTACAGACGTGCGCTGCCACCACTGCACCCGGGTCTAAAAGTTCTGCTTTTAAGTCGACAGTTAAACTGATGCCTCAGAAAGGTGGGCCACACCCACAGCAGGGTACAGTCGGGACCCTGCACGGCTGAAAAGCTTCATGGGGACTGCTGACAAGCGAGGGGTGGCAGGGAGTGAGTTACTGAGCTCTGGCCAAGGAGCCAGAAACCTCCCTGCTGGCTGAACCAGCCTTGTGGACCCTGCCCAAGTCCCCAGAGAGCAGGACGCCCCTGTCCCACATAATGATGGTGGCCCTCTAGGTAGAGAAGCGTGCCACCTACTGATGGGGCAAGGCCTATCTCCTGGCAGAGGGGAGCTGTAAACAGTGACCCCAGGACTGGAGCAGTCTGCAGACCTGCATCCGGTTCTCGGACCTTGTTACCATGTGACCTTATCCCAGACCAACTGTGCTTCAATTGACTTTATCGTCTTTAAATTCAACTTCTTAGATCAATGTATTTTCCAAGGAAAGTTGATGTCATTAATCTTTACAGAAAATCAAGATCACTTTCCACAAATAAGAAAGAAACTCATGGAACATACACACATTGCTTTCTGGATCGAGACCTAACTGTCAACGATAAAAAGGGGAGAAGAGAGCCAGGCACGGTGGCACACGCCTGTCATCTCAGAGGCTCAGGAGGCTGAGGCAGGAGGATCTCGAGTTCAAAGCCAGCTTCAGCGAAAGCAAGGCGCTAAGCCACTCAGTGAGACCCTGACTCTAAATAAAATCCAAAATAGGGCTGGTGGGGGTGGGGCTGGGGCTGGGGCTCAGTGGCAGAGCGCTTGCCTAGCACGTGTGAGGCCCTGGATTCAGTTCAGCACCACATATAAATAAATAAAGATCCACTGACAACAATATTTTTTAAAAGTAGATTTAAACAGACAGGGCTGGGGATGTGGCTCAGTCGTGAAGTGTCGCCGAGTTCCATCCCTGGTCCCCACCCCCCCAAAAAAAAGAAAGTATAAAGCAAGGTCTTACTAAGTAACCTTTGATACAGGAGCTATTTGTGAATCTTCTGTGGACCCAATGCCAAGGCTTCTGATTTCCAGGTTCCTAACAAGTAACTGAGGCTAAAAACAGATTATCTGGCTGTTTTAGAGGAATGTGAAGATCGGCAATGGAGTGAGTAGTGAGGTGACAGTAAAAGTAAAAAGGTCCAGTGATCCCCAAGGTCCTCCTAGACCAGCTTGTGTGGTGGGGTTGCCAGGGCCGGACCCTTAGTCCCCAGGGCTTGGTAGTGACCCCTGGCTGCCATTTCCGCCCATCCTAGAGTCACCGTTTCCTCCAGTCTCTGCTTCAACACTTTTTCCCCCTGAAATACAGGTGAAGGATTAAAATGAGTTTTTTCAAGCATTTATCTCAAAAATTCTGAGTACCAGCAACTCGTGGGCCCTCCATGGCTAAGCATCAAAAATCCTCTTCTCTTTGGACACTTACTTTTCAGGCATTTGGGGTGTTTAAATAAACAGATGTCTTTTAATTTAATTATTTAAGTTTATTTAGATTAAATTGAATTACTTAATTTTGGTCCTGGGGATTGAACCAGGGGTATTTAACCGCTGAACTACATCCCTAGCCCTTTTTTCTTTTTCTTTATCTGATTCTTTTGAGACAGGGTCTTGCTAAGTGGCTAAGCCTAGCCTCAAACTTGTGATCCTCCTGCCTCAGCCTCCAGAGCTGCTGGGGTTAACAGGTGTGTTCCCCCGGCCCCGGGAGTGATTTTAATTTCTGATTTAATAACATCGTCTGGTTTTATTGGGTTAGTTTTTCTCACCCCCTGCTACACACTACAAACAATACTGCCTGCTAAGTTTTCCTTTTAAACGAATACATTTGAGTTCTGCTTTTTAAGCGAACCGAATGTAAAGCAGCCTCCAGGTAACGACGGTGGGCAACTCGCAGAAACCACAGAAGCTGTGGGTGCCCAGGGTCAGGGAGCAGGGCCAAGGAAAAGCTCCTTCCACGTGTCCGTCTTTGACCTTGGGAGCTGCTGCTGGTTACTGGTCAGCGTGGCCTTTGGAGTCAGAGCAGCTTGGCCTGACGTTCTCAGGCCGTCTGCACGTCCAGCCCCTTGCCCCATGGCCCGCCCACCTGCCCCACGTGCTCAGCCTGGACATCCCTCCCTCGCCTTCCCCTTAAGCCATCCTCCTTAAACAATCCAGACTGACCTGAAGGTCACATTTGCCTCCCACCAACAGAGACACAGCTGTGGATACTTCACCCCCTGACTCCATCCCAACCCCCCCCCCCAGAGGCTCCCTGCAGCCATTAGGGGAAACCAGATCACCTTACCTCACCCTGGAAGCAAGCAGGCCTGAGGCTGTCACCCCGTCATCTCCAGGACCCCTCCCCTGGCGCCTGCCTCAGGACCCTTGCTCGTCCTCTTGCCTGGATCCCTCGCTGGGAATGTGAGGAAGAGAGTCCCCCGTCCAGCACATGGCCTGCTGGCCTTCACAGCCCCTCACCGCTCGAACCCAGCTGAGCCCACCTTTGAGAACCACTCTTAAAGCCGACAAGCGAAGGCAGGGAAAGGAGGTGGCATCTCTTGGAAACTGGTGACAAGGAGCTCGGCTTGGCAGAGGCAGCAGACAGGTTTCTGAAAGCCAGGAGCCAAAGGGAAGGGGAGGACGCAGGAAGCTTCCAGGCCAGAAAGGTGCCGGGCAGCCCTGGCCAGAGCCGTTGCTTTCTGTCCCTTGAGGAGTTCAAGTTCAGGGCTGCGAGGTCTTTGGGGCCCCGGACCCTCTTGCCTGTAAGTAGAGGAACCGGCCACTGGGGGGCGCCCGAGATGCCTTCCTGGAGGAGGTTCGGGAGGCCGGGATCTCCCCCACCCCCTGAGGTCTTCAACCTCTAAAATTGAAACCTGGCGAGGGGGCGCCCGCCTGTGATCCCAGGGGCTCAAGGCCAAGGTCAAACCAAGGTGACAGGAGACTCAGACTTCCTCGTGCAGGGGCTGGTCTGGGCACTTTGTTAAAATGCAGGATCTGGCTTCCAAGATCTGGGGTGTGGCAGCTGAC